TCCATTTGGCTTGTCAAAGCAAGATGTCATTTGCAACCCGGTTGCTGACGAACATGCACTTTAGAGTAAAGCGGCCATTCGCCCGGAGATGTTTCCTAGCCTTCGTGCGGCCACTTATTCTAGGCAACTGGAACTTGCACGGTTGAATCAAGTTATAGGGTGGGCAGCGCCGCTAACTGCATCGTTCAAGACGAAAGAAGATGCTGAACCTATCGATGAGACAGAATCCTTGCACCGCCGCTTTCCCACTTGGGAATGGGATCCGCCTGTTGCCTTGTTTTCGTGGGGGCCACATTGTTCCGATGATCTTGCCAACAGTGTCAGAGACAAGATCGGTGTCGGGGACGCGCAATCGATTCTTGACTTTTTGCGCTCATTGAAATGGCGGGTCACACCTGAAGACTCTGTTGCCTACGTTGAACTGACCTTTTTGTTCTGCGCTAGGCATTTTTCGTTGGAATCCGTGGCGCCGCCTAACACTTCTTTTTCTGAGGTGCTCAAAGTGGTCAAGAAAGCATGTTCTTTTGTTTTTCACCGCCCAAACCAAGGGCTTCTCCCGGGTAGACATGAGTCCACCCTTATTCACAAATGTGGGCGGGCCATCCCGAAGGGATCAATTTACGGTGCCCGCCCTCTTTTCAAGACTTGTGAGCTAGAGGCCTACGGTATACGGTTACTTCTTGATGGCTGCAGCCAGAAGATTGCTACCTGGGCCTTCGATGTGTCGGCTTGTGTTTCTTAATTAGGTGCATCGTTCCTGTGCAGTGGTTTGTATCGGTCAGACCTGAGTGTATACGATACCACATCGTGACTCGGTGTGCGGGAGATAGAACAGGTAGAAAAGGGTCAACCGTTATTTTCCAGGGAAATTTCAGGGAGTCAGTTTTGGGGCATGGTTGGTCAGATGGCGATATGATGTGACACGAAGCTGGCGTTGTTGGTGCGCTCCGAAGATCATCCGCCCCGGATCCCCGCTCGTCCTTATTTGCAACTCTGGCTAACGATGTTAAAGCAGACCATATGGCTACGGCCAAAAACATAAGGCTTGGATCACACACCCAAACCCACACACGATCCATACCTCGATCCATGGGGTATGGATCAAAAGGTGGGTGTGTGATCCAAGCCCTTGGATCACCACCACCACTACTACAACCACCTCTGCTGCCACCACTGCTACTGCCACTGCACTTGCCACCTGCTGCTACTACCGCAACAGCTTTACTCTTGCTGCTACTGCTACTCACTACTATCAGCAGTATTACCACCACCACAGATTTAGCGGAAGCCACTAGACTCAACTTCAAATTGACTTCCCATTCCAGCCAAAATTAATTACCGGAAGCCACTAAGTGTGGTCACAGCCGGGACTCGAACCACCACTACTACAAACCACTACTACAACCACCTCTGCTGCCACCACTCCTTCTGCTACTTTGCCTGCAACAGCTTTACTGCTGCTGCTACTGCTACTCACCACTATCACCAGTATTACCACCAGACTCAACTTCGAATTGACTGCCCATTCCAGCCAAAAATTAATTACCGGAAGCCACTAAGCGTGTTCACAGCCGGGACGCGAACCCTCAGACTGTGGAAGTGAAGAATTGGAAACCGACGCCTTTACCATTAGGCCATGCAACCCTTTGAGGGGAGGAGCCAACCCAACTAACCCATATTAAATAAGGTGCTAGAACACAATATTGAGGCCAAATAGAATTAGCGGCAGCCACTAAACCAGTTTCAGGGTGAGGCCAAATAGAATTAGCGGCAGCCACTAAACCAGTTTCAGGGTGAGCCTTGCCCTCATCATGCAACTCTCCAGGAACAAGCATTGCTGGTAGGTTGGAGGCTATCCTTGCAGGCTGGAGGTCATCGCATGTGGCTTGGAGGCCACTGCCACTACGGACAGCCGTTTTGGCTTTTGAGAGGCGTCCGACAGGCCCTGGACCCTTGTGGTGGTTGCCATGTCAGAGCCACCTCCACCGCCAGCGGTGTGTGGAGTGAAGAAATGCAGCTTCGGTGTGAAGCGGCCGGCGCTCAAGAGCGGGCACTGGGTTGCTGCTTGCGACACTTTGCGCTTTAGCAGAAAGTTTTTTTGGCTGCACCATTGTTTGTCATGAGGTCTGGCCAAGGTTCTTGACTTGAGTCCACCAGTGCCAGCAAGGAAATGGAGAGCTTCACTTCTGCTGGGCACACACGAGCTTCTCACCACTGCTATGTGTATGTGAGGGGGGCGCTTGGAAGTTCACGACATGTCTAAGCAAGACCTTGAAGGAGGACAGCCTTCTTGCATCTGTGTTTGTTTCCCTTTTTATATCCGTTTTCTTGATCCACGCTCTGCAGAGTGTTCACATGACACTTCAACTGATTTTTGGTGCTTCAGATCCAAGTCAACGCTCATTTCTCCTTTTATTCTTCAAGCGTCCAGGACTCTGTGACGCTCCCTTGCGCGCGGCGGAGCCAGGGCATGCATCTCAACCTGGCAAGCCCGTGCTGGTGGATGCAGCCGTCCAGACGGCTGACTTAGATGGTGGTTGCTGACCTCTTCAGCTTATTGACGCCCGCAGAGCAGCGTGCTATGTCACGGACCTGCAGACAAACAATGTGCAGAAGTTGCTCGTAACATTGCGGTAGCTGCTGATGGAGGCACTGAGGACGCGCATATGGCCAAACGAGTCCTTGCGAAAGCTGGCACCAGTGTCTTCCGATCCAAGCGCCACGCTGAAACGGCGCTGAAAATCCGTTTTGGTCGGCGCCTGTGGATGGGAGCTCAGCGGGCAAAGTGTGGGACGGCGAAGGGCGGACGCCCATCGAAGCCTGCTGTTCAAGCCAAAGTGCGCGCCTATTTGCTTGAGAACTCGCAGGAGACATCTCATTTCAAGAAGATTCAAGGGGCACTGGTGCGCTGCCGGTGTCTGTCTCGCTCTAAGAGAAAGTTGTGGCGCTTGAGTGGAGACATGCAAACCCTCATGAGTTTATCTTTGTGGAAAGAGCACCTGAAAAAGAAGCACCCAGAGTTCATCAAATTCAAGAAAAAGGTGGACATGTGCCCGATTTGCCACAAGTATGACAAGCTTGTTGTGCCGAAGGTGTGCAAGGCGATTTCTGAGGCTTTGCTTCAAATCACCAAAGTCGCACCAGATTATTTCGCAACCTTGGAGAAGATGTGGGCTGAGTGGGAAGCAGCTGGTCAAACTGACCCCGACGGAAAATGCAGCTTGCAATATGTTCGGACAGCAGTTGAACATATAGATGCAACATTGGCTGCCAGGCGACGCACTCCAGTCTCAAACCAGCCCAGTGCAAGGTCCTTCCGTCTTGAGCTGAAGGAAGCAGAAGCCAAAGCCTCCAACCTCTTGAAAGGCGAGCTGCAGACTTTGGAAGCTTGCGAGCCGTCTGGTCCGATTGTGGGCCATAGTCTATTATGAGCATATGCTTTTGTGGCGACTGCCATCGATCTTCTGGAAAACTCATCATGGTCTTCTGTCACTTTTCACTATTTTGGAGAACATCACGGCAAAGGCCGGAACGATGGACAGTTTGGCCTACAGAAGAAGTGGCTGGACTCGATGCCAGCAAGTGTGTGATTGGCACAGTGCCCGAGCTGCTTCGTGCGTTGAGCGAGGGTGCCGAGAGCACCATGACATTGGACCCCCCACCAGCTGGACCAGAGTACAAGATTGTCCATTTTCATCCTGACAAGCCCCCAACTTTTCGATATTTGGACAACAGTGGAGGTGATCTGAAGATTGAGTATACATACTGCCTTTCTTTCCGCCAGACAGGCAACTCCAACTTCCCAGTCAGGATGAAGGCTTGCGTCTACTCTGACAGGTTGTCTGGCCCGTTGCAAGGGGGCAAAGAGTTGGGGGTTGCTGTGTCCACCATCAAGCCTTGTCAGGACTCGGACTGGAGAGCGTCGTACAGGAGAGACACACCCGAGTCTGACCCCTTGCCTTTTGATTTGCTAGCCCGTCGTTTGAGTGCCCAACGACGGGCAAAGACCGGCACAACTTCCAGACGGAGCCCGCTGCTAGAGCAGCTCCGTGCAGAAGAGGAGGCACGGGCAAGGAAAAGCATCAAGGCTCGCAGAGAGAGGCTGGGCTTGACAGCGGCCGCAGCAAGCAGCGAGGAATCATCGTCGGATTCCTCTTCTTCAGAAACCTGAGCTGGTGCGAGTGGGAAAAAGTTTGCAGAAGCCGGGCATTGAAGTGATCCATTGGGCCTTAACGACCAAAACAACCAAAAATTAATTACCGGAAGCCACTCAGTGTGATCACAGCCGGGGCTCGAACCCTCACACTGTGGAAGTGAAGAATTGGAAACTGACGCTTTTACCCTTAGGCTACGCAACCCTTTGAGTGGAGGAGCCAACCCAACTAACCCATATTAAAGAAGGTGCTAGACCACAATATTCAGGCCAAACCGAATTAGCGGCAGCCACTAAATCAGTTTTCGGAGTGCGCCTCCAATCCAGAGCTGAAGCCACCACCTGTTAAATGTCTTGAAAGCCCACTGAGTCACCAATATGCGCGGCCAGCTGATTGCCCAATATGTGGACAGTGGAGCCCAAATTCACAGCGGCCAGAACTTCAAAACAAGCTTGCCGCAAACAGGATGGCTTTGATCTGGGAAGCCACCACCTTCACAGTGAATTGGTGAGAAAGTGGTGGGGTGAAGTGCCACCATGCAGATGTGTTCATGTTGGGGGCTTGGATCAAGTGACTTGTCGGTTTGATCCATAGGGCTTGGATCAGCGCTCTGATCCAGGGTTTGGATCACTCTCACTGCAGCGCGGAACGATCCATACCAGGGTTTCTGGCCACACCCATATCTCGGAGGAGCATTCCCCTCCCCAAAAAGCATGTTTTTTCCGTCTCATGCTTGTTGAAACGTCCCCAACCACATCCAAACCATCCAAAACTACCTCCTGTTACCCAGGTTGCTCAGCCACATCCAACCACCTTCGGTTTCGGATGTCCACCGCCCTCGCTCAGGAGGCTTTGGTGCTCGGCCTGGAACCGGAAATGCGCCGCGTCTCCGTGATCTTCCTCTCCATCCGAGGCCGAAAAAGGGCGGGCGAGATGGAAAAAGCAGGTTAGGGATCAGCAGGTGTTTTCACAACGGGTTGGGACAACGCGGATGGATTTGAGATGGGGTTTTGTGGCTGGTGCACCTGATGAAAAAGTAAGCTAGATGGAGCCCACGAACCCGAATGCACACACGCACTCGAAAGCACACGGCGAACCATTGTTTGACACTCTTATTTGTGGAAAACTCTTGCAGACACTCTCATGCGACACTCTTGTGTAAAACTCTTGCAGGCACTCTTGCAGGAGACGCTCTTGCGGGGCACTCTTGTGGGACTCTTTTGTGGGACACTCTTGTGCGACACTCTTGTTGGACACTCTTGCAGGGCACTCTCTTGTGGGACGCTCATGTGGGACACTCTTATAGGAGACACACTTGTGGTACAGTCTCGTGAAACACTCTTGTAGGACACTCTTGTGGGGCGCTCTTGTGGGACACTCTTATAGGAGACACACTTGTGGTACAGTCTCGTGAAACACTCTTGCGGGGCGCTCTTGTGGGACACTCTTGTAGGGCACTGTTGTTGGTTACTCTTGGCGGACACTCTCGGTGTTGCACCATATGTGGAGAGGCCGCTGCCACTTCCTCCATGGAGAGATCCAGTTTCCACTCCAAGGCAGAAGAGACAAGCCCTACTGTCACCGCCATCACCGAGCTGCAAGAGGCGGCGCTCCAAGCGAGAGAGTTTCTTCCTGGCAGGACTTGGGTTCATGGTGACATCTGCCGAGTCCGCGAAGACGGGTACTGCAAGCTCAGTGCCGCTGGGGCCCATCGAGCAGAAATCATGGTCAAGTTCGACTGGTGAAGAGTCACTTCATTAAGAGTCACAGGTTGTTTCGGAGATTAAGTCGATGTGGCGTCGGTAACATATCTATCCGACAAAACAAATTGGAGAAATGATTCAGAGACGACTGAGGCCTGAAGAAGGGCGAAACAGGGCCAGGATCAGGGGTATTGCGAGATCATGAGAAACAACCTGATGAATGCCAGTTCTTTTAAGTCCAACAAGACATGGCAGACTGCCCCTACGGCATCAGCAAACATGAGATCGACCACAGGTCTGAACATTGGTGTTTTCAACTTTGGCGACCTTGGTCAATCAGGCGGCATTGCTACCATCAGGGAGTGGCATCACTGTGGAGGAGAAAAACAAGAAGAGATCTATGAACCAAGGTGGTGATGAAGCTAAAGATGACTGCTTTGTAGCTAAGTTGCAAATGAAAAAATGTTTGGCATATGCTTCATTGAGCTTTTAGTTGACAGCCTGTACAGGCTCATTTGACAAACACACTATAATCACATGTAAGATGTCAGAATGAAGCTCTCAGGTGGCACCAACTCCAAGGTACAGCAAAAGCGACCCAGGCCTTGGCCACAACCAGTTCAAAACCAACAGCCAAAGCAAGGGCCAACACAGGCTGTTCCACAACAGCAAGAGGCAAAGCCACAAGAACAAGCACCAAAGACAACACAACCTGTGGCTCCACCAGCTGTGGCTGCACCAACTGTGGCCAAAACCAAACAGACAACACAACCTGTGGCTCCACCAGCTGAGGCTCCAACTGTGGCCAAACCCACACAGACTGCTGCACCACAAGCCAGTAAGTCCCCACAAGCTCCTGCACAGCAAGCTGCAGCGGGTCGATATAAACTTCCCAAGAGTTGCCAGGAGTCAACCGAACTATCAGTGCTCTCCGGAATCGTTCACAAGTGAATCTGACGACAGCGGCACCTCACCAAGGTTTCCAACAAGGCCCATGTTCTTTGTACCTCGCTTTGACAATACCGTGACTCAACATCCTATTTAGGGAGCGGCCATCATCAGGAGCTGGAAGATCTCTGGCTCAGATATTCGGCTGCGGAATTAAGCTTTGGATGGCTGCAGGTTGATCAGACACCTTTGCCTCAACTGCTCGAGCAATTGACGCAGCATTTGTGATTTGGACACACGCAATTGGCAAGCATTGTGCTCAAGCAGCTTGCTGACGACATGCTGTTGGGGCGACATTCCAGGCATTACACCATATATATATATATATATATCTATTTAGAATCCCACTTTCCAAGATGATCGGACGGTCGGATACCAAAAGTTACAAGGGAAGTTGAAAGTTGCGCACAGTCTTATCCAAACCGCTTCATCGCAGGGCGGATGGATGTTTCCTGAAGTTATGCGACGATTTCAAGAAGCCAATCATGCAGTTTTATGCGGAGGTCATTGACAGTTTCCAGGTTGAACATCTTGTGGCACACTCTCGAGGCTTCCTCCAAGTCACGCGTCAAGTCGCCAAAACGAGCGTTTCGTACGAGAGTTCCTCCAAAAGTCAAACTTCATCCAGCTCTCCAAAACGAGCGTTAGGTCGCTTCAAAAGTGAAGCGTTTCCAATCCCAGCCCCTCAAAACTCAACCTCGACACACCAATCCCACTGTCACAGCGACATTCACCTCCACCAAACGTCGCGCGATTCCTGGTGCTTGCCACGAAAATTCAACTTCGACACCTCCAACACGTACACGAAAAGTGACGACATGACATCTTCATGTCTTCAGCAAAGTTTGCACCACACCACACGTTTGAAATGATTTCGGCACTTCCTGAGCACACCCACAGCCACCAAAATCACAATTTTAGCTGAGACTTGTCACGAAAGCGCTGTTTCGAGGCAACAATCTCAACCGCAATATCCCACTGCCACAGCAACCTCCAACACCTCCAACAGACCACCCTGCGAATGCCAATCCCACTCTCATGGCAAAGGAAACTGAAGGTCGCACAAAATGCTGCACCTGCGCAGCAGAATCATCCTCCGCACTTCAACATGTTATGTTTCTAAGGTTACACTAAGTAGTAATAATAAGTAACAAGCAGGTAGTCTGGATATATAGAAATGAAAACGAAATGAAAGCAACTACTACTGCGGACCCCCGGCAAAAAAAATACTTTTGAAAAAACTGGCGAGCCTGACCCCCCTTATTACTACGGATCTCACACCACAATATTTCACACACATTTGCAACTTCGCTTCTATGCTTCTATCCAAAACCTCTTCCACAAACGCTATGACAACGTGTCGCGAACAAGACTCCACCCCCAAAGTCCCAAAGTTAAGTGAGAACCCTTCACGATGCATTCGGGAGAAAACATGGTTCCGTCCCAAAGCCGCAGTACCCTGGGCGTTTTTCGATTGAAACATGGGAATTTTTCGTTGGTTCTGTTGGTTTCCTCAAGGTCGGTTCCCCGAGGTCCGTGACGGGACTGCGCGGGCGGTTCTCCGCATGGACGAGTCCCAACGGTCAGTCCATGGGTCGTTTGGGGTGCAAGAATTGGACCGTCTTTGGACCTTCTCTTCATCACAGATGTGGGAGTTTCAGAGTGCAAATCACAGAGGTGAGGTGATTTTGGACAGGAAGAGAAACGTGAAACAATCAACCTGCGAGGTCATTTGGGAGGACATGGGGTTGTCCAGAGTCCAGACCATGCATGAGTTTGCGCCGTTTGTTTGTTTTGTTTCTCCGATTTGTTTGTTTGGTACACACATGGTTCTTTCACGCTATACACCATCAAAAGACCTCTTATAACTTCAATCTGTGGCAGTGAATTTGCGAAATATGACGGAGAACTAGAAGTATCAAACATTAAGTGAAAACGTATATGTAGTGACGGTGTATCCAACGTATCCAAATAACGCCGAACAAACGCACTGCCAGCCTGCCAGCGACTCCCATTCAGTTTTTGGACCATTTTTGGACCCGTCGCACAAACATCAAGCCTCGTGCGCATGGGGTGGCCAGGTTTGAATCCTGGTGGTGTTGGCAAAGACCAGGACGTGGAACGCACACAACTGGTGGTCCAACTGCTGCAACAAGCTACCTATGCCTTCGAAGGTGGCTCGGGCAGGGGAATCCAACCTAGTAGTTTCTTGTTACGTCCGTAGCGATGCCAGGAGCCCCGATGGTAGCGTCACTCCTAGTAGTAAGGCCAGGAGCCCGATCGTATAGCTTAGTCTTCCCGTGATTGCGACCGGCGGCCAATGTCGCTTTTCTTGGTGTCCAGCTTGGAGATGTCCGGGATCAAAGCCAGGGAAAGAAAAAGTGATTCGTTGATGGCTGGAACCTTGCGAACACTCGATGGTGGTGGAGGAGGATCCATGTAAATGGTTGTGTTTCAAACTCTGCCTTCTGAGTGAAGGAACAGAGGATACATGATGATACATGATGATACGACATGTTCAAAAGGGTCCCCACTTCTTTGGGACCCAAGGTCAGGAAAGAGTCCGGCTCCTGGGGATCTCATCGGGGATCTCGGTGGGATCTCGGTGGGATCTTGGTCGTGGGTCTGTCTCAGCCTCTCCATCGAAGGATTGCGGGAGGTTTAGCAAGAAGACCTACGTTGTTAGTGTGATTCTTCAGATTGTTCAAATGATTCACTTCTTGATCGTCCTTTGATCGGTTGGTTTGAATGCTGGTGGTATCAAGCATCAATCAACTCGTTTCAGACTCGCTGTGCAATATATCAACAAGTGGAGGCAGTCAGAGCCGGTTGCATGGAGATTGCAGGAGACAAGGAAAATCGTTGTTCCTCTCTTGAAGGAAGAATTCCTGCAGAACGGCTACCAAACCCTGCAAAGAGTGAGTAATTCTACCCAAGTTATTTTACTGTAGAAGCCACTGCTGGATTCCCCTGGATTGGAGTGTTTTCTTGTCTTATTTGACACAATGCAATGCATGTTAGTTGATGCACCTACCTCTTCTTTTGCTTCTCCCCTGCGGTTATTTTTTCCCTGGCATAAGATCGGATAAGTGAATAAAAACGCAAACATCAATCATCTCACATAAGATGGACACTGTGAAAAAAAACTCGGCCCTGTATAGTTCATCTCACCCCAAAGGAGCAAAATGAGGTGTTTCGTAGCTATCACTGTCACCATCACTTTGGCAACCCAAGACACTTTGAAGCTTCGCTTCTCAGAGGACGCCCGGCAGACACGATTGATCAGAAAAACGGGACGACACGACGTCGGTCTCTGGTTTGAGTCGAAGCGTCCAGCGGTTGAACACGGAGGCAGGCGCTTTCCAATGCTTTCCAATGTCCCGTCGACACGACGACCGACGTCTTGACCTCCATTGGGCGTTTATAACATGCCGTACCCGACTGACGTCCAGTTCGACGTCCTATTTTGACCGACTGAAGCAACTCCGAAACGTCCTGAACTCGGGCGACCTAGTGAGAGCATTCTTTTGATCGTCAAATTGACTCCCAGGGCATACTCTCGGAGTGTTCGGGGTGTTGTGTCTGCGGACCGGCAGGTAGTGTCAACAAGTTCTTGGTGGATGATAAAGGCGCAGGGCAGTCTACGCGCACGTCTGCCCCGTCGCACCGGGCGACGACCCAGCCGATGGGTTGGCAGGGCACCCGGTTTGGAGACCCGTCTTGAAGGAGAGAAACCGGTGCAAAAGCATCAACTTTGTGTGGGTTCACAAGCAAAATCCCTCGATTGCACCCATCCACGTGGCAAGCAATGGCCTTTACGGCACAGCGACAGTTGGTTTTCTCGGCGTCCCGAGTCCCTCGGGATGGGCACAGAGATGACTGATTGTTTGATATTGTTGGGGTCTAGTGAAGCACAAGGGAACTCCCACAGGGCCCACGAAAAAGCTTGAACCCCTCAGGGCAGCACCCTGTGCTGCCCATGGCAGCAGTGTTTCAGGTTGAGGATGGCAGGTGGAGGAGGCAGTTGAAACCTGCACTGTGGCCCCTATTTTGGTGGGTGTGATGTTTGGCAAAGCTGTAGCTACACAAAACGAACATGGACCGAGGTCCCATGGACCGAGTCTTCCAATGGCTTTGGATTCAAGACTCGGACTGCACCGAGTTTGGTCGCTGCGTTGTGGCTGGCACTCTTCGTGTTGAACGCTGAAACACATGTTTTCCGCCGACATGTGAACATCGATGGTGGCTTTCTCCCATGCAGGGATGCTTTTGCTTTGCGGCTTTGGGCTTCCACCCTTGAATCACTACATCGATGATCCGTGCTTTGGCCAATTCATGGGTCCGACGGGTCCGACGAGTCTCCGGGAAGGCCGGCTCGTCAGGGTCTCCATCGGATGACTTGGAGCGTTCCTTCGCCCCCTGGACGTCGCCCAGACGCGACCCGACGCGCCCGAACCGGTCGGGGGTCGGACCCGAATCCGGAGGGCTCCAAGGGGTTCTGACATCATCCCTGGGCGAGGGAGCGGCTGGGAACCGGAGTGTTTGGGTGTAATGTTGAAGACTACACAGAGTCCTACCCAGTCGGTGGATGGCCTGTTTTAGTAGCCAGTCCTCGGGGGATTGGCATCTCCACTAATATCCAGGAGGTGGAAAAGGTTAACCTTGATTCTCCGGGGAAACGGCTCGGGGGTCAGCTAAGCAATATGTAGGAATGGCAAACTTTTGACATCTCATTTTGTGCCATCTGAACATAAAGCCATCCCAAGGCTACCGTTTGACCTCCCACCCCATCAGCCTTCATGGATTTATCAATTTCAGCATCTTCAGTTATATCAGCATTGCCAAGTCCAGTTCTTCACTCATTAAGCCTCGAGGGGCCTTATGTCGTTCAAATTTTGCAGTGTTTGTAGTTATTTTTGTTCCCCACCCTCTCGAAAGTGTGTGTTTCTCTTTGGCAAAAGAATTGAGTTGACATGTTTAAACAAAGAAAACAACAAATTAGAACACAACATATGATACGCATGAAAGTGGTTTTTGCAGAGTGTGAAGAACTAAGGCCCCAAAGAGCTTACCTTTCTGGTACTTTCCCGAACTGGGAGGTACTAAGGTACTCTGGAGGTATAACTGAGTACACGACCAGGACACCCGACCTGATCTCAGCGTTCCATGGTCGGGACACCGACGGTCGGGTCCATTCGGATCGAACCTTGAGACCCACCCAAACGCGACCAGACGTGAAAAGCCCCAAAGCCGGTACCTCAGATTGAGCCGCGTTTGACCATGAAAAGAACCTTTGACACGGGTTTGTTTGTCTAAAACCATGGTTGTTAGTTCGGAAAACACTATTATACCGTTACATCAACGGTTTGGGCCAGGAAGCCTAGGGGCTTTCAACTAAACGCACTCACGCGCACTCACCTTCAGGCTCCGTGCCGTCTTAGCGGCCGCACGCTTCTGTGACACACTGGCGGAAGAGGGCTTGGAGGGCCAATGTGGAGTGGCCACCGGCACTGTGTGGTGTGGCGACTTGGCCAAGAGAGTTTTGGGTGATACACCCCAAACTTTGGCAAACCTGGGTGCAGATCCTTTCTCGAATTTTGTTGGGCAAGTATGGATGGCTGGCAAACCTGGTTGCTTGGTTTACACCTGTTCGATGAAGTCACTCGACTCCAACGATGAGTGTGCAGAACAGTTCACTTCTTCTGATAAGATGAGCCCATATGAGCCCCAGGATTCATCTGGATTCATCTATGCCAGGCTGCGCTTTTCAGGACTCATCTGAACCTGGACCTCACCCTTGCAGAACATGAAGCAGAAGAAGCTCCACCATACTGACTGAGAAGGAATCATGGAGTGACATGATGTGACATAGATGGCTTCTCGGTTTCGGGGGATCACTTTGTGAGAAGAAACAATGACAGATCCACACCTTGATGATGTGGTGGTAGTAGATTGAACCGTTAGATTGAACTGTTAGACGATGAAGCCCTCATCTTCCCAATAGTCCATGTTGTCCAGCTTACACCATCCATTCTTGTTGCACAGTGCGAAACCATGCATCACTCTGGCTAGGAGTGTGGTGAGTCAGCCCCCCTCTCAACCATGATCGGCGACTCCTTCAGCGTGATGGTGTGTACTCGAATCATGATTCACTATGTCAGTCAGTCAGTGGATAACCTTTTAACATCTGTTATATAACCCCTATGGATCCACATACCTTCTCAGAAGCTAATTGGACCCTCCAAGCCCACATAAATAGTCTCCAATCACCTTCTCGGAAGGTATGTGGATCCATAGGGAACTTTTTTGCAACTAAAGAATCGACTGGTGGAAAAGGTTAACCTTTTATTCTCCAGCAAAAACAGCTTGGGAGTTCCACCGCACCCATGCCCACCTCACACTGTGCGTCTCATTCTTGCGAGGCACCGTGGGCAGCACCATCCGGCGTGAGTACACCGTCTTAGGGGACACGGTGAACTTGTCACTCGGAGCGGAGGACCTGCGCAGGACTCACGGTGAGCCGCGGGAGCTGTGTGGAAGCAGCTGCCGGCCAGAGAAACCGTGGCAACCACATGGGTTTTTTTTGAGCGCATGGGTGCCACCCAAATCCGATCTGTTTTAGTTGGACCTGGTGCATCAATGGTGCGGATTCCGGGAAGAAGAATCCCCCCACTGAAAAAGACTCCTTGGACGCTCCAGTTCCAGTCCGGGGTTTTGGACCCGAACCCAACCCTTTCCATTGGCCCGGATTGGGTCTCAAACCCATGGAAATCCACCTATTCCTGGATCTTCCAATGGTGTCAAATTTATGCTGTTCCATCTATAAAACCAGCCAAAAGACTGAAATTTGGCACAGTTGGAGGATCTAGGTTTGTTTCTATAAAACCACAGGACCTCTAGAAGTCCGGGTTCCTTCACACGTGGCCACCGGGATCCTTTGAACCGGGGTTAGACCCTCCCTCCCCACTTCGACCGAGAAGCCACGTCCAAATCGACCAGTGAAACACCTAGTTTCTCGCTGAAAACATCACAGGGACCCTTTACAAAACCCTCTAGGGACCCTCTGTGATGTTCAACCCTCTAGGGACCTGTGGTTTCTATAAAACCTAGTTGTTTCTCCACCTAGGGATCCAAATCCACCGTACCTCAGAAGATACGACTGGACCCGACACTGGCACCTACAGTACATGTCACAGTGTCGAACACATCATCGTACCTGAGAAGGTACGACTGGATCCCTATAGGAACTGGTTTGTAAAGGAAAACAGTCGGACACAGGGTGCCCAAACCACGACTGGTCCATCGCTGAGTTTTCGGGAGCGGATCGGATGAAGGGGAAGATGTTCATGTCTTCCCAGCTGCTTGTTACCCTAATCTACCCTAAGAATCCGGGCCTGAACCAACACGTTGACATCGGGTTTTGAGGGTCCGGACCCCTGCCCAGCGGTCCAAGGATTGTTAGGGTGGTAAGTTGAAGACATGCACACCGGGTTCGCCGGGGTTCTCCCTCCGAGGTCTGCGCGCTTGATGGCGAAAACGGACCGAAACACCGTGCTCGTGGACGCAGCCCCTTGGAGACCGTGGTTCGGTTCGGCAGCAGCAGGAGTCGGGAGGGTGGTGGGTTTCCGAGGTAGGTGGAATTGGTGGGTTCCCTGAAGCAATTTCCCCATGTTGAGAATGGGTGGGCCTGGCTTTGTAGTCTGAAATCGCAAGAAGTAGAGTCACAATGCAGTGTATATAGGTAGAAACTTTCGGAACTAGTTTAGAATGTTTAGACAAGTAGCATCAAGAAGCTAAGTTCAAGAGCTACGGAACTTACAGAGTAGCGAAGTGAACAAATATATGCTGGCCACATAGAACGTCAGTATTTGCAAGATAGACATGTTCATTGGTCATGTTGAAGCAATATGATCGTCGCTTATGAGCTTTCATCTGATACTTCTGCCGTAAGGTCGTTTTGATACTTCTGCCCTTGGCGCAGACCAAGGTTATAGAAAAATGAGTTGGATTATACGAAGCAGTAAATCAGCTGGTGGTTCAGCCGCCGTTCGGTTCAGGCCACAGGGGTGGATGCTTCCCAAGCTGCAGGGGGAAACAACGGGACGCACCCGAAACAATGTGGGCAGAAGTTGTCGGGTTTATAGAGGGTATTGTGTGCAGAAGCGCGTTCGTGTGATAATTCTTTTTGCCGGTTCCTGGGTGTTCATCTCCGGTCCCGCGTGGGGAAGATTGTTGTTTTTTTTCCCCGGTTTCCTGGACCGCAAACTCATGGCAACGAGGAGAAGAACGTCGTTTTAATGAGTTGTTCACTTTGATGGGCAAGACAATCTTTCATGGTGTTTTGTGTGGGTTCAAAACAATTGTGTTTATGCATGTTTTGAGTGTTGCTCCTCTGTGTTTTGGTCTGCTTCTCTTTTTTTGTTCCTCGTCTCATGTGCCAAGAAACCTCGTCTCATTGGCGCTCCCTTCGCGATCTCATAAAGCGTCCAATCGTGGATCATTTGCAGAAAACACTTTTCGGATCTTTCTAGGGGATCGTGGATCACTTGCAGAAGCGTCCAATCTACCTCTCGGATCGGTTTCCCCACCAGAGAGGTAGAACAGGTGAAGAAATGACATTCCCGAGTCCACTCACATAGACCCGGGTCCGTCCTGGCCCCTTGGGTCCGAGTGGTTTCCTCTACCAACCGACGTGGTTTTCAGGGTCCATGGGATCGTCGACACCAGGGCGTAAGTGGTGATTCGGTCATAACCCCAGATCATCCATGTATGACCTATTGACCCACATTGAGGGCTTGGCATATCTTCCATACATGGATGGTCTGGGAAAGGGAACGTCTCCTGGATACCCTTGGTGTTCTCCCCGTAGATGTTATACCCTCCAACAATCGTGGTTACGTGGATTCGCAAGGCCCCTGGAACATCCTGCAACCATGTTCCTCTGCAACCGGAAGGCTAAAAAACAATGAAACACAAATTCCATATCCGTTTTTTTGGAGAGAGGGTCCCTACAAGTCAATCACCTCCAAGTCCCTGGAATTGCTCATACAAGTTCACACGACTCCTCCAGTAAGGGACCCTACCACGGAGACGGAGTTGGCCATTCAACCGGACTCCGGACGGACCGCCCGGGACGGACGGACCGCGGGACCTCGGGCGGGTCCCGAGGAGACCTTTCGGTCTTGCCGGCCGGGCCGCCAGAGACAACCGAGTGAAGCGAGTGAGGCATCGGCATGAAGACTGAAGACATCCAAACCATTCCACACCTATATTTCAAGTGGGGAAAGACATATCCAAACCTTCAACATGAGATATGTGTGGCCCCCCTGTGATTTCATGTTGAACTGTATAACATGTCTCGTAGGTTCAACACGTCTCGTGATGTCGTTTCGGATTTGGGTTCAAACATCGCTTGAAAGAGGATCTGCGGACCAATGCGTTTGTACATGGTCGATCCACAGGAGACAACATGTTGTTGAATTACGTTGAATACTGTTCGGATCTGTTTGATTTCTTAGATTGCTAGTTTAGTTGGAGCAAAGACAATGGACACCATCAAGGTTTCACGCAGCAAAGGGATTATGTACCGATAGTCACCAAATGTTTGTTGGACAGTGTTGAACTCACACCATGGGTGTTACTCGGACAACTCCCAAGTCGATTGTTTCTCGCCAAATGATTACGGAATTGGTGGGTTGTGCCTGGGACGTCCCGTCAGGTACCAAATTGGTGAACGTGTTTTGCGCAATTCAAGAAGAACTGAAAAGGCTCAGATAGAACTCAATGATACTCAATCTATACCTGGACCCGAAACCTGCTAGGTCACCTCCTGCCACTTTAAGTCTCCAAATGCCACCATTTCGGAGACCAGACCTGGAGGGTTCTGGTAGATCTTCCAGCCATACCTCCCCATCTCCAGCCTCACAGCCTTCGATCGGGTAGGTTTGGCCGGACTTCTCAAGTGTAAGGCCCAAATGACGTTTCCTCTTCGGATGGTTAAGGCAATCTCAGAACCTCAGTGTCATGCCTTGCTTCCGCCTACAAGATATCCAAGGACACCTAGGGATCCAAGTACCTTCTCAGAAGGTACTTGGACCCTCCAAACCTACATAACAGTGTCTCCAATCACCTTCTGAGAAGGTGCTTGGATTGTTAGGGGACTGTAACAAAGACCAAATCTCCGACGCATCGACCCAATCGTAACCCCTATGGGGAGAGGGTCATGACACCTGAAGCAAAGGACCAGTCCACCATCGAGGGAGTTGGACCAGTCCATATCGGTAGGTCAACCAAGGTGCCATGACCCCACAGGCAACTCCTTGAGTACGTAGTGTTGTTGCATGACCAACTCCAGGAACATAAGCAAGGTCATTGACTTATAAAACCATGAGCTTCTATTTGCTGGAAGATTAGGACACTGTGAGTTGATGTTTTTTCCGCCTCCGGCTCTTCTACTCGCTAAGGAGTAAGTTGTCCTTTGACTGTTTGGGCGCGATCCACGTGAAAGGCGGTGGCGGTTTCTTCGACTCATCGAATGGGAGTCGAGTCGGTGCTTTCATCGTGGGTGGAAGGACTTTCATCGCAGGTGACTTTCATCGTCGCCAGGTCACCCTTCTTGGGAACCGAACGAAGCGCCTTGAACAAAGGAAACCTTTCCAGTTGGGCGAACGAAGGGAAAAGAACGGGGCTCCCAACGTATTTGTACACCCGAGGATTGGACCGTCGTATTAACCGATGAGTTCCTTGGGTTCACCGGATCACGAACGAACAAGGATCTTTCTCGACTCCAGGGCGCGAAACGTCCGTTCATGACTGGACCGGTGTGGCACCAGGCAACGGATCTGTTCATCCCACAGGTGGAAAGCCACAGGCCACAGGCTCTCTGACCAAGAGAGGTTGAACAGTTCTTTGGCGCCCATCCTGTACCACAGACCAGGGTCCTAGTTCTGGTCTCAAAAAACCTCTCTTGGAAGTTTTTGAGTTGGGCCTTACTACTAGTAACAAGAAGCTACTAGGGGCTCCTGGCATCAGCTACTAGGAGCAATGTTCGCTACGAACGGAGCAAAGGGCATCGAAACGAACGGAGCGATCGGACGCTACGAGGAATTCGATGGTAGAACTTGAAGATGTACCGGGTGTCGAGACACCGGGGGTCACGTGCGGACATCACTAGAAAGCAAGTTCGTGGCCACTCAGTCTCAAGCAGCAACTGCATCACACTCCAGTCATTGCCACAACCTTTGGAAACCCGGATCTGTTCCTGAACTCAAGTCAAGACAAGCAGTTGCTTTCTTTGCCCCCCCTGTTTTGGGGGGATTGATGCTAAGCTGCTAATGGCTGACAGGTTTTGCGGGTCCAATGAACCAGAATGTTAACACCGTCAAGTCACGAGAAAGAGTGTACGACTCAGACTCAAGCGGCTCAATGACCATCAACAAACAAGAAGAAAGAAGCCGACAACACTTCGCTACCGCATTTCAGAAGCTGATTCTACTCTCAAAATCGCTCCAAAAACAACGAAAGACCCAACCCGACCGTCTTTGGAATCACCACATGCCCTTGACGCCCTCGACGCCGAAGCTCCATGCTGCACCCGAACCGAGCAGCGCGGCACCACCCTGGGCGTTCGGCAGCGTCGGCGACGCAGCGGACGCGGAGCTCGCGTCGGACGCCGCGTTGGAAGGCGCGGGTCCCGCGGCGGGTCCCGCGGCGGTTGGAGCAACGAAGCCCCACGCGGAGCTAGGCGGCTGAGGAGCAAAGAGGTCTTGAGGGTTTTTGTTGCAGTTGGAAGCAGCAGCTGCAAGAAGGCGCGACCAAATACGGGATATGTTGAATATTGAGGAATAGTGACTATATGACTATATACTCGATAAAGAATCAATCAAGTGTGCGGGGTGGCGTGTGGCGTGGCACACATCACACACCAGGGTTGCAGAACTGCAAGAGACTCCCCGCTGCCACGTTTTTGGACAAGTGCGACCCTCTCCATGGCAGGCCGGCCCTACAAAGTTGGCAAAGTTGTATTTCAATGGTTTTTAAGGATATGATAGGTCGACCCCCTAGTAGATAGGTAGTAAAGTAAAATCCCTTTCCAAATGTATTGGAAACCGTTGAATTCTATCTATTTGGGGACCACCAAACCTCTTACTCTGGGATCTTTTGGCCCGTTGGAGATAATGGAGATGGTGGCATGGTACCACCTCTCGCCATAGCTGGCTGAGAAAGTTCTTTACCCAGACTAGACACTCCATGAGACTGAAAGACATCAATCTCCAACTGATCGGCAGTCCTATGGCAGTCCCGAGACAACCGCGGGTAGGGAACAAGGGAATCATGACCCCTCAGCCTCCACATAAAATGATACCTCATCCAAGAAAGGACCCGGCCGCCCTTGTTTGTGTTTTTTTCCATTGCTTTTGCAAAAGGGTGATTCTTTAGTTCTCCCGAACTGGGTGAATCCATGTGAATCCCCTCTGGTGAATATATCTGCTCTGTTTCTTTCCAGCTCCATCCAGCCTATGAAGACCACCCGTCCATCCCGCGACCTCGTCGGTCCATCAGATCCCACCCCCGTTGGACCCACCGGACCAGGCGAGTGGCTGAGCGCCCAGCACGGCCGCCTCGTGGTCCGAGACCGTCGCGTGTGGCGCAGGCGGGCGAAGCGAGCACGGCCAGCCGGGTCAAACAGGTGTTCTTGACCATCTAAATGGGGAGGGGATGATGAATCAACAGGCTAGAGGCGGTATCTTCTGGGTGTCCCAGTACACCTGTAATTAAGAGTCCGTCATTAAGCAGTTAATAATGAAATATCCACGATTTTAGAGGTGGAAAGGCCTGCCTGCAACCTGACCATGATCATCCACTAGGCCCCTGGTAAAGGGATGTATACCAAAGGCTACTATAAGTGTGAAGTCTACCCAGACACGACTTTTAGTAGGACTGCCAATATGTGTGTTTCAGTTGACATTGAAACTGGGTCACTGTTTATTCCAGTCCGATGGAGTAGTATTTGGCAGGGATAGAGAATGAACAAAACACTGTTCGTGATGGTTGATTATCTTCGTTTCGTTGAGCGGGTCAGTTCCAAGTTTGTCGAATGGTGCAAAGATACAGAAAGATACCCTCAAAGATCTGGCTTTGCCCTATAGATCAAAGCCAGTTTAGTTACCCAGTTCATGATGTTTGATTCGCTATGGATACCTTGATGAACAACATGGACCGACCTGCTTTACCTGTCATTTAGCTAATGGAAAACCAGGGCTTTGTGTGACTCCTTGCAGCTAGCGGAGCAGCCATGGGGATCTGGGGATGTCTGGGTCGCCCCTATGGAAAGCTTCCCAGAAGATCCCACGTATCCACTTCTTTTTTTTCAGGAACCAGGACTTCGTTCGGTCTGTGGTTCGTGCGTCTTTGGAACCACTGCGAGGACCCTCCGTTCGGGGTGTCCAAACATTTTGGGGTCCTTAGAGGCGAGTCGGGTATCAAGGGGTGTTCGAATTCCACCAGGCTTGGAAGGTCCTGGTGGTGACCTGGCCCTGGAGCTTGGTATCTCAGAAGTTGTACACCAGGTCCTTCAGTCATCGAATTGGGCAAATCCGTTGGGCTTCCCAAGCCTAATGGTCCCCGCTATGAATTCAGATCTAATAAGGTCCCCTGGTCTCAAAAAGACCTCTGAAGCAAACATCCATCAATTTGCTACCACTGACTCACCCTTCAAATCCACACCAAACCCCCTCAAACATTGGCGGGTTTGATGACCGAACCTTCTGTTGAGTCGCCCCGGCCGTTTCCAGTGACTTCCTCTTCGGCCTGCTGTTGGATGCGGAGGGCGGCGCGGAGGGCCAGCTGCGGCTCCATTTGGCGCACGGCGAGGACGGCGCACGTTTTCGGAGCTCTGGGGTCTTCATCAAAAGGTGCATTTCAGACAAGAACTAGGGTGTGAGCAAGTAGATACAGTAGAATCAAGAAACGGATCCGAAGAGTGTGATCTTTGGAACATGCACTGACTTTTGAACCTGAAAAAAATTGCGAAAATTGTTGAATAATTAATGAAGTGCCAGCTTGCAGCTTCTTGGAATCATCTATACAGTTAGTGCAGCAAGACTGCATGTTTGTTTTGAATGAAATTTGAATGACAGGGTAGTCGGGGTGATTAACTGTCTTCAGCATCGAATCGAAGGCAAAGGCACTGGTTTCATGCTCAGCCCAATGTGTTTGGCAATTTATTTCATGTTCTTGCTTTGTTTTTGGCGAATTTATCCCCCCAATGATCATTGCGGAGAACTCTGCCCACCATCGAGTCAAGGCTGATCATAAGTCCAGTATAGACAACTGTTACCTCTCGGCCCTCTCTTTACCCCCGTGTTGAATCGCCATCACCACGACGACGCCACCACCACCATGCCACCACCGCTGCCACATCCGTAGCGAGTGGATCTGCGGCGGTCAGATGATGCGGGTTTCGGAACCGCCAAGGTCCGTGCACCGATCAACGGCCAACGTGGTTTGATGGTTACCTACCAGCGGTCACAAAGGGGTGGTTAATGGAGACCCCTTAACAGCTAAGGGGCTATAAATAGACACCCCTTGGAGGGTCCTGGTACCTGAACTTACAGTTTTTTTTTAATTTTACTGGTGAAATCTAGCAGACTTGTACATGGAAAGGCTTCAGACAGCCAAGAGGTCTACGTATTCAGGCCTACGAAGCGTTTGATCGATGAGTTTGGGGCAGTTGCAAGCAGCCGGAATCAAATAGTACAACACCCTAGAAGTGGAACCACCATTGTTTTAATAGCCTGAATCCCGAAGCACCATTGTTTTACCCTAGGGTTTTATACTACAAAAACCAAATCGTTACCGTTTGAAAAACAACGCCTCGACGCTGTGGTTGGGCGCGCCGGCAAGGATGCTAAACACAAGCAGAATGGGCTGCAACCGGTCTTTTCCTATTTTTTTTCTGAGAAATCATTGCCACAGCCAACTGGAATCTATTTTGATGTCCAGGTATTCGGATGGGTCTTTGAAAGCTTGCAACACTGTATTCAGTCCAGGTTGCGACAACAATCTACGAACAGCGAATTGGTTCACACGTGCCATTGCAGGACTCATACGTCCTAAAAGGTTTCGTCCAAGAACCTCCACCTTCACGTTTCAAAGCAGATCAATTAACATACAAACGTAAACAGGAGACAAAAGACAGATGGAACGCAAAACGGGAGAGGAAAAAGAGACAAGAACGCAAGCATTTGGCCCCCCCTAAAACCCCCGCTGTGCGAGACAACGCAAAACGTGAGAGGAAAAAGAAGCAAGAACGCAGGCATCTTGCCCCCCCCCCAAGCCCCCCCTGTGCGAGACAACGCAACACGGAAGAGGAAAAAGCATACAAGAACGCAAGCATCTTGAACCCCCAACATTGTGTATGTGGCCAAAACATTGGCGGCAGTGTGTCCAAAATGAGCAACAGCAAAGAGTCTGTTCATGTTGACGCAACACAGACATCATTTCGTGTGGCAGGCGTGGGAGAAAATACACTTTCCAAGAGGAGGAAACAAAATATGCATTTCGCGTGGCAGGCGTGGGACGAAATAGACATAACATCGTAATTACAAGGGGGGTTATGTTAGAAAAGTTGCGTCGAACCAGGGCGTCGGAGCCAAAAACAATGATTCTTTGACTTCCAGGGACGAGTAGATGAGCTGAAGAGAGTTCGCTGTTAGCCTTGCAATGAGAAGCGTGAAGCGATCTCTTGGACGCGGAAAGCTTCAGACGACGGGCTGTTCGGGGTGCAGCTTCTGTTCGTTCACGCACGTCATGAGGTTTGGTCGACTTGGCCCTATACGGGCAAGAAAGGGTTTGTCCCGGTGAACCTCGAAAACAATTGGTAAACGAGAACGTGCAGAACATCACTTATTTTGCAGATGTCGGCCTGTGCCAACTATCATACAAGTAGTTCCCGGGCAAGCCGGCGCCGGAAGTTTCCCACAAGAACAAATTGACCTATAGGAGTGTCCCGGTTCTTTCCACCATGCGTGTCCCTCGTGTCCCTCAGTCAGACGCATGAGTGATGAGTGATGAGTGAAGCATAGCTCTAGCTCTAGCTCCAGCTCCACAAAAGCGAACTGGAGCAAGACGTAACTATGATATGATAGCTTGTCTAGACACGAAGCTAATTAGCTCAAATATGTCAACCTCTCAAAAAACATGTTTTGAGGTCCCCAGAAAGTAATCGAAATGGCCACTTTTGAGTAAGCAAAGTAGCTAAAATTTGTCAACCTCTCAAGAGAGCCGGGTGGTCGGGAGACATGACTCAGCTGCAGGGGCGCCACAGCAGCCGCGAGAGATGACTCAGCCGCAAGAGATGACTCATCCGCATACTAAAGTTGTACTACAAAGTCGCCAGTTCTCATCTTCCAGCTCCCCAGATACTCCGCGTACTAAAGTTGTACTACGCCAGCTCTCAGCTTCCAACTCCCCAGATACTCCGCGTACACTGCCTGCCACGACATCTGCACATGGAGGTTCACAAAGTGCTGTGCCGGCCACGACATCTGCACATGGAGGTTCACAAAGTGCTGTCCTTGCCACCAAATCTGCGCTTCAAGAAACTAGTGAAACCTCTAACCACAATGGAGGTACGATTCCGAGCATGATCCGACCATGAGCATGACCCGAGACCGTCTCGCACACGTCGTTCTGCAAAGCTTGACTTGCCAGCTTCGGACCCACCCTTTCTATTGAAAAACATAGCATTATATGATGAGTGGTGTTTGATGAGTGGTGTATGATGAGCGGTGGATGAGTGGTGGATGAGTGGTGTATGATGAGTGGTGCATGATGAGTGGTGTTTGATGAGTGGTGTATTGATGAGTGGTGTATGATGAGTGGTGTATGGTGAGTGGTGTATGATGAGTGGTGTATTGATGAGTGGTGTATTGATGAGTGGTGTATGAACAGTTCTTGAATGTCCGTAACACGGAAGTTTCGTACACTAAACTTCCTTTGATCATCATCCACTGCTACAGGGGATGGGATATACATGGATATATCCCATCGATATTCCAAGCCGCCTTTTGTGAGACCAGCCCTATGTGTAACATGTTGAACTTCCCTGATCACCAAATGCCACGCACAAGTAGACAGTACACAACTCTCCAAACAGCTCCAGCCACAAAGTATCCTGGATAACACAGATTCTGTGCATGTTCCATTGTGACTGGGCATGGATGACGGTTTCAACATGACATGACGGCAAAGCCAGGAATTTCTTTCTCATCGGTACTAGTTCCGATTAGGTCGTGGTCATCCTTCAGGAGCTTGCGTTGAACACGCTCCTTTCCACGCGCTCCCTCCTCCTCTGGCACACCATCCCGGAGCTGGGCGGACCTTTCCAGGGCGACTCTCGGCGAAAGGCAGGTGATCGACCGGTCTCATCACGTCGCGGTCGGCCTGATGAAGCACCTGAAAGCCACGCCGTCGCCGTCGATCGCGGCTCCGATGTTTGTTCAGTTTGAGTGGCCGTCGTCTCCCGTTTTTCACTGCGGGGAAGTCGCTTGGGACGGGGAAAACGAACCTCCGGAAGTCGGATTTGCTGCAGAAAACACCCACCGGTTGCTGACAAAGATTGGCTCACAAACAAGTCATAGTGTAACAATCCAGCAGGTGCGTCCTGTTTTGTAAGGATCGGATCAGCAGATAACATCAAAACCCATCGCTGTCTACCTTGGTTGCCTAGAATCACCTGTGCCTGGTAGTGGCCCAGAATCACTCCACTCATGAATCATAGACATAATTACAACAATATCCCGAATTGAACTGTTGAATTCAACAGATGCCTTCCAAAACGACTTTCCAAGACGCTAGAGCAGTGAATTTATGCGTGGCCTGGGTCCTTGGCCTGGGTCCTTAGCCTGGGTCCTTTCCACATGGTGACCAAGGACACCTGGGACCGCACCTGGCCTGCAACGGGTCGCGTGGTCGGCGCCGAAGAACCATCGACCCCTCTCGGTTCCGATCAGTCAGACCAGTCGTTAAACAAGGCTCTTCCAACGCTCCGCATGGGACCAGTCGTTAAGCTCTTCATGTGTTTGGGTCATTAGTTGGACGATCCGATCCAGATTTGGAGGATAGAAAAAGAGATACCAGCACCTTCCAACAGGTCTCCGAAATGGAGGGTTGTTGGGCCCGTGCCCAGGTTTCAATTGGTGACCTGTTGGAGGTGCTGGTAGGAGATCAGTGACAGGAAGATACATGTGTGTTTTTGCTGGCCACACCTGAGTCCTTGACCATCGCAAAGGCGCTGCTTGGTGAAGCAGAAATATTGACAGCGATCATTGTTTGGCCGCCCCATTTTGACAACGATAGCAACTTCTTGCAAGACTTTTGGATATTCAAAGAGCTTCACCTCCCAAGAGAATGCATTTCATCCATTTGTCATTGGATAGCATGATCTTTCATTGACATGTTGCCATGCTTCAGCCAAGTCCGTGGGTGAAATACATGCATCCTCAATAGGTTGAATGGGCTGCATCAGATTTCCGTTGTTTTGGCAAACATTTTGTTGCCATCTGTTTGGGACTTTCCCAAGACATCCCACATGTTCAAAGTGGGTGCATCCATGAGAAGAGAGCCAAAACCCATCCAACACCAAAGGTACCAGCAACGCTTTACACCCTTCCACAGAACTTGCATACCTTCAGTGCAGATGGTGATTGGTCAAACTTCGACAATGCAGGTCGTCCGTTGCCAAACCGTTTTTGGTTGATGCTATACCGGTTACTGCTCAAAAAAACCGCACACTCCGACCCGCGGATCCCGCAATCGTTGGATGAAGTTGGGGTTTTGAAGTCAGACGTCTCCCAGACTTCTGGAGTCGGTTCCGAGGAGGGTTTTAAACATGGCCGTGAGCTCCCAAACACCATTCTCCGGCTGTTTCAGACCCCAAGCAGCATAAAGAGCAGCGGAAGACTAAGACTCAATGTGGTCACGAGATACTTGGTGATCAATGTTGGCTTCTATAAAGCAACTTGAATTCATTCACCGCAAGCACTCACCCAACTAGTGGTTTGGAAGTTGCAGCTTTCACCGGCTTCTACCCGAACCAGTTTGGGACCCTGCGATCTCTCGTTAGGTCAGGACGGTTGATCCCTGCGATCTCATCAGCCTTTCAGGAAGCGCGCAGGTCGGGCGAAGCCGCGAGCGAAGCCGATTTGACATCGTTCTCATCGTTTTAAATAAAATGAACGAAGCGACAACCCGGCCATAGCTTCCCTGGGTTTGAAGAGCTTACCAGGAAAAGGGGATCACCTGCAGGTCACCACGATTTTGTTGGAGGGACTTGGGATGTCCAGTCGTGTGAACGTGTGAAGTCGTGATCCCAAATGGTCAAAGACCTCAGTGCTCAGTTGGTCTTCAGGACCCGGAGACTGGATAGGTCAGAGGGTCAGACTCGTGTGACCAGGACTTTCCGGTACCTCTCGTTTGGTCTGATGTGCCTCTGTGAAAGTCCAGAATGGTCACTCCTTTTGCCTAGTTCTGAAGGTCCAGCTCCTGAAAGCCTCCATGAAGCCTTTGTTGAAGTGAACGAGAACCCAAAGAAAGCTACTCATCTTGGGATCCTCACTAGGGGTGTTTGGTGTTTCGGGTTTGGGGTCATGGGACAAGCGGCTTAGCCAGCAGTTCCATGTTGGAGTGGGTTGGCTCGTCGTATCACAAGTGGGGCACCGAGGGGGGCTCGAAGTTCGGCGCCCGGACCTGGAAATCCTTAGTGTTGGTATCTTCACCACTGGTGTTTGGGTGTTTCATCTACAACGGGCCGGACGGGCGAGTTTGGGTCTGCGGCCGGACAGGCCTGGCAAAGCTGCTTTTGAAGTGGTGTAACACCATGCAGCACCATGTTTCCGCACCTCACTTTGACCATGAAACATTCCCAGACTAATCCATCAACTACACGGAAGATTAACTTGAAAATGGACCAAACTGGAAGACTCTTTAGTGTGAAGGGTCCATGGTGGGTCTCTTAGGTTGGAGGCCATCGCTCTTAGTTTGAAGGTTCCATGTGGGTCACTTCCCTGGGCGGTCGCTCCGTTGTCGCAGGCATTTCCCTGGCCTGGCACAAGACCTCTCGCTGCTGGACTTGGCAGCGCCCCCGTTGCGCCGGAGCATCGGTTTTTGCACCACCTGTGTCTTGTCTTCTATTTCTATTGGAAACAACCATTGGACAAAAGAAACAGTATTTTTCCATATTTTTCCGATTGTTCAAGATATGTTCAATACAAAGTTGTTTTTTTGCCATGGTGTCCAATGTTTCTGCCAACGGCTCATATGGTATATGATCTTACCATGAGTCCGATGAGTCTGGGGAGCGCGGAGAGAATACCGTTTGGGCAAGGCGTGTTCCCCTCTGTCTGCCCTGTGTCTTGGGTGGTGTGCCGAAGGGTCCCGGAGTGTTTTGGGGGCGGGCAGCTCGGCTCAACCTCCCAGGGAACAACCGGAAGTAGACCAGTCGACCCGGGAAGGGCCAAAAACGGTGGTCGACACAAATACGCACCCCGTGTATTGGACACCAATCGTGTGGATTTCATGGGGATTTCTGCCGTTCCACAGGTCGTTATGGGACCGCTTCGAGTTTATTGCTTTGAACAGCTTCAAGGGTTCGAAATGGTCTGGAATTGTATTCTAGTCCTGGGAACAAATGTGTGCCTTTTGCTTGATTGTTTGACCAAGATGGATTTTGGGGTGCGTGTCCTTTGGAGAACACTCCACTGGCCCAAGTGCACAGATAGAGACAAGTTGTAGTGAACCATCCCTGCTCAGTCAGTTTTTTCTCGGTGTCAACTACTTCAATTGTCTTTAAGGCCCCAGAAGGGTCATCGACGGTTCATGGACCTCTCCAAGAGGGCAGCGGCTGAGGCAAAAACCGCTTATGGCAGCTGCGAGTGGCGCTTCCCATCAATCTCCTCTACGCGTGGCCCTTCCGCTTGTCGGTGTTGCTCAGCGCCAAGCATCGCTTGAACATGCCGCACCGGGGGGGCGGGGCGGCGCCCGGGCCCGGTCGGACATGTGTTCATTGAGGTTGCGGGGGTTCTGCCCACCTGGATCGCAGGTGGACTCTATTTATACCATATATATATATTATATATCATCCAAACACTCCATCCAGACTGGACGAATTTATGCCACCCGACAGGACCAGGTGACCAAGTGAAGGTTTCGATGACCATATGACCCACCCCTGGGCTTCCCACGGTTTCGTTTGGGGTGTGGGAGTGGAACTGAACCGTGACGAATCATCGATTGGTTCCTCCTGCAGTCGGACAAACGGGAACCAACGGCGTGGTGAGGTTTCACGAGAGAGGATGAAAGATGAACGACAGACGCTCCATGGGACTGCCATATATATATATATAGATATATATGCCTACATTGGGGTGGTTTGGGGGGTCAATGTAGGCATATATGCCAGTCCCATGGAGTGTTTGGGAACGACAGGTGGGAAGTTGCGCTCACCTTTAATTCCAGAAATAAGAACATCGGGCTTGGGAGTCAGAACTCTGTTGAAAAGTCTGACGAGGCGTTGCGGAAGGCGTGCTTGGAATGCTAGGTGGCAAAATGGGAAACTCGCTCATCTCCAACCCCCAAACACGCCATTGGTCGTGCAGTTGCTCAAGTCGGGCATCTTCAGAGACTGCCCAGACGCTCATGGACCCTCATATGGAGGGGTCGGGGGTCTCAATTCCCTACAATGTTCAGGGACCGAGAGCTGTTTGGAGCGTGGCTGGGACAAAAGGTCGCCCTTTCCTGCAGAACACGGGTCATGCCCCCAAAATCACTCAGTCCCTGTTCCGCGCCAAAGTCTCTCCGCGGCTGCTTCGGCCTCCAGCCTCTCCGAGGACGCTGCACATCGTCGACTTCGGCTCCGACGGAGAAGGCGGGGAAGGTGGATGAGAAGCCTAGGATCCCTACCAGGACCCGAAACCTGCCAGGTCACCACCTGCAACTTAAAGTAGATCTGCAAAGGTGTTAGAAGGTGCTGGTACAGAAACTGACCTTATTTTAATTACTGGTGCTGTTCGTGAACCTTTGCCCACCCATACCACCGAGCATAGTCACTTCCAGACTACCTCTTGTGGCGTGACGCGTGCACCCTAAGGGCTGTGCACATCACCTTTCACAACTGGAAAAACACGATGGAGGTCAGTTTGACCAGCTGCCTGGACGGTCAGCCTGGACGTCGGGTCGTCACTGTGAGTCTTCATAGCTCCCCTCACCCAGGGACTCTCAATTACCTGATCCAGTTGTACCGAACCTCAGAAGGTACGACTGGACCCTCAAAACCTACATAAGAGTGTCTCCGTCCTCACCGTACCTGAGAAGGTACTTGGATCCTTAGGGCACCTTTTGGCGGGGCTTATTGGGAGATGTTGCCTCGGAAAACAAATATCGGTGGATGAAGAGAGGGTTCACCTGTAATTCATGGATGGTTTGGGATACTTGGTTTATCTTGAGGTTTTTGGGTGAATTGTATGGTGTACATTCCCGGTTCCTGGGCAAATTGGGAGGCACAAAGAATAACAAGTCAATCATGTCAAGTAGTTCAAGTGTTTCGCAGGTGTCCAAGATCACAAGAAGAACATCCAAAGCCTTTTGTTTTTGGGTCGAAATGAAACAGAATGAAAAGTTCAATGTTTTCCTTCCGGATCTTCCAGTCATAACATATGGTTATATTTTGCTATTAGGAGCGATCGGACGCTACAATCGGGGCTCCTGGCTTCGCTACGAACGGAACAAGAAGCTACGATCGGGGCTCCTGGCCTTACTACTAGGAGCAAGACGCTAATAGGTCAATATATGTTAATATAATTGATATATTTTCCTGAGCCGTTCCTCTTTCACCTACGGATGTTTGTAAACGGTTTTTGCGCTTCCATGCTGACAAGGTCCAGCCGGGGGCTTCACGATACCAACCAACCGAAGAAGCTCGGAAAAGACGATGAGTTCACAGCTTCACGAGCTTCACCGAGGCTTTGCCTCCTCGCACTCCCAACCTCGCACGTAGAGTCCTAGGGCCCCGTTTCGGGTTCCAGTCGTATCTTCGTTTCGGTGTTTGGGTGGGTGAGGAGGTACTTTGGAGCCCAAAAGGGTATAAAGATTATCACGATTGTAGAGAAAGGCTTTGCCTCCTCATCCACTGGTAATGGGATATACCATGATATACCCAAGAGCCCGGCATCAAAACCGGACTTGTTCTGCCGTTTCCCTGCCTCACCCTAACCCACCATACTGGCATATGCCTAAACTAGATTGACCCCTTATCAACTACCAACTTTGCAAGAAGATTCCAGCGAACCCAAATTATACAAGGGGTTAATGTATAACATTGTATAACAAAATAACACAAGGGGTTCTTTGGTTTTAAGGGTCTTTTTACCAAAGAACCCCCAGGAAAACCCCTTCTTCTTCGGCCGCCTTGTATCCCCACAGTCCCGAAAGACGGATCCAACCGACTTCACCATCCGACAGGTTTTTCACGGCCGAATGTCGCCCATCCCAAATGTACCACAGACATCCACCTATCCGCAGAAGCTGAGATCGTTCTGGCCTCAAAAAACCTCTCTTGGTCTGTTCAGGAAAACCCCACGGAACATCACCTCAGCCGGGCTTTCGATTTCGGTGCAGCTGGGATCGAGCTCGTTGCGGTGACGCCGCCGTTGACAGCCAGACACCCTGGACTTTCTGCTGCGTACCTGCCGTGTCGCCCTTGATGCTGGCCTTCTGCGGGTGTACCGCGTGGAACCGCGGGATGGCGCCAGGCTCTTCCATGTGGCATGGCCAGGGTCAGGGTCCACGTACTGTGTGTGGTTTGGGAGATGGTCGTGGAGCGTTCAGAAATTTGGAGCGTTTGGAGATAGTTTTGATGTCCGCTTTAACTTGAAGACGTTCAGACGAAGATGCGTAAACATATTATTAAATACTGAAGACTACTCAAGTACTTGATACATAATAGAAATGATATACCAAAAACTAGTAACATGCAATACCAATTCCTAAGAATTAAAGATCATTTCAAACAACGCGACACTCCATGTCTTTTCGCTCGCGACATTCCACGGGAGCGGGTCGGTGGGTTGCCGTTTTCTCCTGTGGGTGGGACAGACAACCGTCCGTGGCAAGGAAGTCTGTAGATCATTTGAAAAAAATATCTCTTTTGAGAAGAACTTGACCCAGTTTCTGTGGATGATTTGCTCCAGCAACTGGAGGATTTGCCTGGTTTGGGACGAAATTCAGGACCAACGAAATCACCGTCTTTTTGCGAGAACTGGATCCAGCTTCTGCGGGCTATTCTTTTTGCCTTCATTGAACCCCCTTTTGAACGTGGTGAGGTCGTTCCACTGAACAAAGTACGCCCTGGCGGACTAACATGGACCCTGAAAACCACTGATTGGTCTGGTTGGTAGAGGGTACATGAAGAAAATACTCTTTCAATTGGCCATTGTCAGGGTCTATGTGAGTTTTCGGGAGTGTAGTAGACCGTTTATCAATTCAACAAATGGTAAAGCCATATTGGAAAGGGGTCATATAAATCAAGCGTCTTCGTGACATATATAGGGCCCCCCAAGTCAAGGTTCAACTGCTCGAGACTCGAGACACGACCTGTCTGGGACTGCCATAGGACTGCCGCCCCATTGACCCCCAGTCAACCACCCTATTGGGTTGGCAGTCCTATGGCAGTTCCATGGAGTGAGTGTCTGGGTTTCAATTCCTGGATTTGTGGATCGGGTGATGAACAAACCGTTTCCCTGGCTGTTCGTCCTATGGAGTCCTATTGTTCGGCTGCCTGGACAGCCAGGTCCACGTCTTTTCCCATCAAACCATCTGGATTTTTTCGCCCCATCGCCTGCCTCATCAGGGTCCCAGTTCAGACTCTCATCTCAACCTCTCTTGGTAGCGATGCCAGCAGCCCCTAGTAGCGAACCTTGTTCTGGGGAAGATCGATTTTCGTTTTGAATCAGCCAAGCCAAAGGCCTCCATCGCGAAGAACACCGCCCACGCGGTGGCCGACGAGGCCAGGTTGGTGACAGACCACTAAAGCCCTCCATGGGACTGGTATATATGGGAGTTGATCTAAAGGGGCATGTAAGGAGTTCTACATGAAACGATCTTTCAGATGGTGTACTTTCTACATGCAGGGCCTGGGTTTTGCGAAAGTGGATCACCGACGCGGTCTTCCAACTACTTGAAAGAGCTGAGGTGCCACCCGTGGGTGTTCCTCCCGTGACTGGTGAAACTGGCCGGCTCTTGGGACGTTCGCCATGCACACACGCTGGCTGCCCAGGAACATCGGTTCGCCATGAAAACCCGACAGCTGGGTTGTTATTTTTTCCACTCAAATCCGACAGCTGGAAGGTTTGGGTCACCTCTATGTTCCACGGAAACGGCTCGGGGGTCAGAGGTGTTCTTCACAGACCTTGTTGAATCAGGCAAAGGAAGCAGTGATGTTGGTGCTTCCCAAAATGTAGTAGCTGGGACTTTTGAGCATGACTGCAAATGATCGGCGTTGTTGCGGTCAGGCGAAGTGGTCCTAAGACATGTTTGTTTTGCCGACTCCTGGTGGGTGGTGAGCGTGCACAGGGCCTTCGTCACCACATGCTTACATGGGTTCGTAAAATTCACCCAGCAGCGTTGCGAACGCCAAACGTTAAGCCAGTGACCAAGTGACATTCCACCACAATGTCGCACTTCAGGGTCAAGGCCATCTACCAAACTCGGGTCAGGTTTCTGTAGGTTTCTGGCCCCAGCTGGCCTTCTTTGTGGTATTCCACGATTTTTTGTCGAATCGATTTGGAAGTGTGCCACGGTCTTGGACAAGAATTCCAGGACGGTCACGAAGTGGACAAGAACATATGTGACTGCGTACCTTTAGAGTACAATCTCCACAGCCCATGCCGATTGTTTTGACATCACAGACTTAGACTAGTTTTGAAGCGGCATTGTCCTGATCCAAACATGACCAGCAAAGCCCACCCAGTCATGGAGAACCTTTAACCTTTTTGGAGAATTGGTGGACCCACTAGAGTCACTAGAGATGCACAGGCTGAACAAGGTTAACCGTTATTTTCCAGGAAACTGAAGGGGGTCAAGATTTACATAACGGTCAGCAAACGGCCACATCAACATGACATCCCCAAACGGCCACATCAACAAGCCCATCAGCGGCAGCAGATTCCCTTGGCTTTGTTTAAGGTTCCGACATGGCAGTCCCAGACGGGTCGTCGTGTCTGGGAACGTCATGCGGTCGTCGTCGTTGATCAGGAGATCCTGGTGAATGTCGATGCCGACAACATCTGTGGCCCTGGCTTCATCGAAGACGTGACCCGCCGATTTGAGAGACTTGGCTGGCGCCGCGAAGACGGGCGAAGTGGAGGACGAGACGCGCCCCCCCGTTGTCCGGAGGATTCCCAGATGGAGCCGAGAAAAGGCCGCCAGGGGTGGTTGAAAAGGGGTCAATGTAGGCATATGTTTGCATAGGCATATGTTTGCATACTCATGTATACATACACCAGTGAGCTTGGTGGCAATCCACAAGTGTTTTGAAAGAGATCCGTGGGCAATTGTAGACGACGGATTTGTCCCACAAAACCTCTAGACGGTGAAGGTTTTGTTGGTCACCATCGGTCACGCATAGTCGGGGCCTGAAACACGATCGGCCCTATCGGTGAGCTGTGCAGACCTCCCTCGTTGTGTGGAGACCGTTGTGTGGGACCGAAACAGGACGTCCGGGACGAAGGGACGACTCGTTCCGGACGAAAGCGGAGAGAGGTGGACCGGGGCGACGGGTGACGGGTCACCGGTGGTCTTGACCGTTCGTTCTGAGAAAGCTATAGATGTAGCACTAGGCTTTCTAGACCACGAGGTCAACACTGGTGTGTCGTGTAAAATCCTGAGTAAAACAAGGTTTTTTTTGGTGAAGGCTATTGAAATGAATGGTGGACGGAAGGCTAGATGTAGGGAGAATATAACAGGACAATCTTGGCCCCCATCTACTCCACGTCCAGTGTGTCCGTTTGCTGAATGGAATCGTGTTCCCGGCGCTATGCCACGAGATCTGATCGTTGAGCCTCAGTAACTCCCCTTTGATTTGTTTGTTTTTTGGCTTCAACCCACTACAGACTACAGTCATACTTCCAAAAGCTGAGGCTCATTGGACTTCTTCGAATCTTGCGCAACCCAGTCCCGGCCAGTCCCCCTGCGACTAGGGTTGACCCTTCCGCAACAGACACCAACAGAACATTGACCAATGTACCGGCTTGTCCAGCTGTTCTTCAGACCTGAGATAGATACCACCCGACTCAGGCGTGGAGTGGAAGCGCTTCATTACAACACGGAGCATGTCACTGGGACCTGTGGTCGGGTCGTGCTCCTGCAGAAAGACTTCCTGTTTCTGGGCGGCTACGACCAGGAGAATCGTCGCAAGTGTTCATCATGGCAGAGTCGTCGGAAGGTGCATTTAGAAGTGATGGTGTGTGTGTGTGTGATATGGCTGTGGGTCTCAACCCGTATCCCCAAACCAGGGTAGGTTGACGGTTGACCTCCTCTTAGGTCGTCCATTCTCATGTTTCCTGGTCAACCCAGGTAGCCCGGTGGAAAGACCCACAGTGGACTGTTGATGAAGCAACCCCTGCCCAAGCGTGGAGATGTAAAACCATTCTGGGCACAAGGTTGGGTGATAAATCAACCCGTTGCATTCGCGTGTTTGGGGCATGGCAGATGTCGTTGGTCGGTCTCGGTCCAGGGGACACCCCCCCCAAGTCGGGCCAGCAAGGTCTGATCCTCGCCAAAGGCCCAGGCCGAAGGCCTCTACCTTCAGGGTCCGCCCCCAACCGCCGACTATAGATATGTTTTTTGAACCTCGCAGGCCACCGGGGAGAGCGTCGAGAGACGCACTTATGTGACACGAGGGTTAAGCAACTCCAAAGACATGGTGACACGGGTTTTCGCAACCGTGCGTTTGTGATCGCAAGTCGCACCTCGCCTGCGCTTTAAGCACTTGTTCAAAAGTGCACATTATGCGAGGGACGACGGACCGTTATATCCACTCATGTTTCTCCTTAGTGCTTCAAGCGGTTTCGTGCTCTGGAATTATGCCGATAGATCCATTGGAAGATTCTCTCCCAGATCTTCCCGTTCAGGGTTTCACCCCGACGTGTCTTCATCTCTGTCGCAAAAACTTTTTCAAGTGGTGCCAACATCTGTCAATCTGCTGTGTACCAGCGAGGCGACAACTCTGTGCAACCCTCACAGGCTTGCTCCATTCGCTTTTGGAATGGACAACAGATCTCACCTTCAGTTGTTGTGAAGCCGATGACAATGTTCTGAAAACGATGATAATGTTGCGAAACCGAAGATTACATATCGTGAAAACATGTGAAAACGATGACAATGTTGTGAAACCGATCATTACATATCATGAAATCGATGAATGGAAGCAGAAATGGCAGAAATCGTGCATATACATGTACAAGAAACACCGAAGATGTGACAAAATGTGAACGCCTCCACGGTTGTGAAAATCCGTGTCACCAAAGACATGGTTCTAAATCTAGAAAATACAAAAAAATCAGCACCCCCTCAAACGTAAAGGCTGGACCCGGACCCTCAAATAGAGAGGTGTGAGCCAGTTCCTCTCAGGGGCATCAGAGTGTGACCTCATGAGCGTGGACGCTGAAGTAGATCCTGAGTCAGTGGCTTCATTATATCCTTTGGTGGGAACCAGGTTGATGTCAAGCTGGCGCAGGGTATCGCTGATGAGCTGACAGGACACCCTCTCGATCACCAGCACGTGGTTGAAGGTGTTCACACGGAGATGGGGCAGCTCGGAGGCCTTAAAGTGGGAACCACTTGTAACCCGGAACGCGAGGGGAGAGAGAAAGGTCAGCGCGTCACTCTTTGGTTGCAGAAGGCAATGAACGGTCTGCGTAGAGCACCTTTGTTATGGCTTTTAGAGTTGCAGCGAACCATCTATAGTCTTGGTAGGGATGAGACTTTCGTCGACTTTGTTTCGTGTTTCCAGGAACAATGGGGAATTCCCTTTGGTGTTAGTGTGCATGGGACGATGTTTTGATTGCGAGCAAAGATCCCGGAAGCAGTGAAACCTTCCTCAAGAAATTGCAGGACATTTGGCAGTTTAAAAGGACAGGTCAGATCCCAGCCAGGGTTTGTTGGAATTTCTTGGACGAACCATTTATTGACTTCGAGATCGTGAAGGGTGTTTGTATTTTGGGGTTTCACGTAGAGAGTTGTCTTCGTCGGAAGCTCAGCGCTATCGCCGTGTTTTAGGACAACTAGCATGGGCATCTCTTTCCAGGGCTGACTTGGCCTTTGCGGTTGGGTTCTTGAGTCGGTTTCAATCGAAGCCACATGTTCCTGCGGAAGTTTGTCTTCGTAGCTTTCTGCGTTGGTTGAAAGGTCATTCGCGCTTTGCTCAACAGATGCCAGCCACTTCACCTGGTGGTACGCCTGGCTCCAGTTCTTACTGGGGTCGTAGTCGGGGTTTGTGGAATGTTCCGAGTACATCTGGAGCATTGATTTCTTGGCGCAGATGCTGTTTGAAGTGTTTTACTTGATGACAGGAGGTTCCAGCCCTGTCTTCCGCCGAAGCTGAGGTGACTGCCATCATCACTGAGGCCAGCAAGGAGCTTGTTTCCTTGGGAATGTTGGGGATGGCATTCCTCTTGATGAGCTATAGGCATGCCAGCCAAGACCACAGGCAGCGTGAAGCTACACCTGTACAATGACGGACAGGGCGGCGATTTCGATCTCCACGATGGAAGGTTTGCTTCGTCGGGTCATGGAGTTGCGGGCCCACTATGTCAAGTACTTGCATCGGCAACGCCGTTTGACCATTGAACATGGGTCGGGTGCGACCAATCCGTCGGATGGATTGACCTAGACTTGCCGTTTGACTGAGATGTGGGTTCATTTGTATGATGCTGTTGGGTTGGCTCCAGGCTTGTGAGTTCTGACCAGGCGGTGTTGCTTCGATCCGTGTCTTGATTGGCTGATGCCGTGGACGACCCTCCAGCGTGGGCGCTTCCGGTTCGAGAAGGGGAGTATAGGCATCGGTGGCGTTTTCTTGCGCGGCGTGATGTTGATGCTGCACATCGAGGTTTTTGACGTGTAATCCTCAACGAGTTGCTTTTTCCGGATCAGTTTTTCTTTTTGCTTTTGCCTTTGAGAGTTTCTGAACTTGCTTTTGTTGGTGTTTGTCTCCGTTCGGAGGAGTTTGCAAATGATCGGTCAGTTTGTGTTTTGCTTGGATCGTGGTTTTCAGAACATTTCCTTTTTGCTGGACGGAACTCTAGTTGAAGGACATGTCCTTGGAAGCCTTTTTGAAGAGTCATCTCAGTTTTCGACTAAGATCGAAGGTGAAGAGGATGACGGGGTTTTAGGGACTTTGGAGCCTTCGGTTCCGTTTTGATAAGAATTTTCTTTGTGTGCAAATTTTGGTCGTTGATGCATGTGCAGTTTTGAACCTTGTGCAGTTTTTGCAGTCTTGTCGTTTGTGTCTGAATGAATTGATCTGGATGGAAAGCATCCACTTGGAATCGCTTGAAGCTTCGGTGATAGAGATTTTGTCGTATCATTGTGTGTGACTTTTTGTTGTTCAGTTGGAAGCCTTGTCGAATACAGTTTGCTTTTCCGAATATCCGGATAGATAAGAACTCTGTCCTTAAAGGAAGTTGAGATGTGTTGAGAACTGCTTTTCCTTTCCTTGTTTTTTACCTTGGTTTGAGACTCTCTTTGCTTGGAAGATGGTAGTCAATACTGTTTGATCCGCTGCCATTTCTCGATCTCAAGCTTTGAAGCTGTCAGGGCTGGAATTGGAGGCGGGGTTAATTTGAGTTGAGTTTCGTTCTCAAAGAGTTGAGAGGAGAGGTATGAGGAGCTCTAGAACTATAGCTGTTTGGGAGGACAATGAGCCTTTCTCCGCATGCTTGTGAGGGTTTTTGAGTGCAGTTCACTTCAAGTTGAAGGGGTCTGGAGCCACTTTGCTTGTGTGACATGTCATTCGTTCGAGTTTGATGTGCGTGCATCTCCTTTCTCTGTTTGAGATTTCGTTTGCTTTGCTTCCTTCCCCGTTTTTCATTTCTTGTGTTGCGCTGATTGAACTTGCAGGTTCTGCTTTGGGGCCCCAAAGCCCTGTTATAGAGGCTTCGACCCTTTGCGAACTGGAGGGTCCAAGGATCTTTAATCCTTTTTGGAGTGGACCACATCTCCAAAATTCCGTTCTTACCTTAGCACATCTTGGCGCCCGGCTCCTTTCCGTAACCAGTCCTTGAATAACCTTTCACTGTCCTTTGAAGGTTTGGGGACACCCTTCGCCGTTCACACACGGGTGCGCGGAAGTTCCCTTGACCTTCGCCCCTCGCCCCTTTTCCCCATCGATCTCCGGCCGGTCCGCCGTCTCGTTCCGAACGCCGCGCTAGAAGCCGATCGTGACGGGCTCCTCCAGGAGGCGCACCCCATGGGTGCCCAAGACATCGACCTCTACCTTCGCGCCGGCATGCTCGCCGCCCAGCGCCGCCCGCGGGGGTCGCGGGAGGGCTGGCGCCCCGCACGCGAGACGGTCAAGGACATGTCTTTGACGCTCGGAGGACGGGGCCAGGTCGACCCAATGACTCGCCGGAGGACTGAGGAATCGCAGGAGACTGGGCTGGGGGGGCGATCGCGCGTGTTTCTCGAGAAAACGCTGGCGGACCGCCATCCAGGCCGCACAGCCGCAGTTTTGGGGTAAATATAAGTTGTTTCGTACGAATAGGGGGAGGGTTTGTTTTTTGTCTCCAGCTCAAGAGGGCAAGACGCAGAGAGCCACAGGTCTCAGTCTTTTGACCTTGTTTGTCTATCATTGGATGGGATTCTGTGTTGGACCTGTGGCCAAGTCTTTAATCTACTTTGGCTGCATGTGGGCGAAGGCTCTCAGATAGACCAGACGAAACCATAACAGGTGACCTTTGGGTTCAAGTAGATGATCAGCAACACAGCCTTGATCACCTTCAGCAAAGTACCCTTCCTCGAATCGTCTTCGTCCTCGAATTGTCGGTTGGTTTGCTTTCCGCATCTATACTAAGGATGAGCATTGCTATCCCCAACAGTTTGAAGCAAAAAGTGGAACACTGCGCATCGCAGCTCAGCTGGGCGCAGATGAATGAGAGTGACCGGTCCGCAGTGGAGTAGTCTGGTGGCCGTCTCAGAGGTGCAGGTTCTTGGGGTGTGGGATGCTACAAGATGGATCTGGTTCTATTTGCCCTGTGCATTCACTAGTGGCCCGGTGGTGGTTTCAGAGTATATTATCTTCATGTTCAACCTTTATAGTTCCTGTCGGATTTGCACCCGGTACTCAAATGGGAACCCACCGTTTTTTTTATATTTTGGGTAATGGGACAGGGGAGGTCTTTGGCACCGGACGTCCAGGCGTTCGGCGCGCCAGCACGCCAAGACCTTCACCGGAAGAAAGCGGAGCGGTGACTGAGTGAAGAAACGGAGGCGCATCGATCTTGGCGGTGCACTTCCTAATGTCATATTAGATATTGGGTTTCAGAGGTTCGGATGGGACAAAACATATAGTTAATGACCAAACTTCGGGATTGTGCCGTACTCTCAATCCACGATAGTTTCAGGCATTGCCAATAGGTTGGAGGCCATCACTCTTAGGTTGGAGACTATCGCTAGTAGGTTCCTTTTGCTATTAGGTTCCAGTTCTTTGTGTTTTCCTGTTTTCTTTTGTTGTGGCTTTTGAGAAGGTGCTTTCAAATCTGAGGCAACTGGGCAAACTTCCTCGAGAAGCGCGAGCGCCAGGAAATCATCCGAAACAGGCCACAGGGATCTGCTTTGCTGGAATGAAATCTAGCTGTTGTTGTCGACATCCTCCAACGCATTGACTTTGGAGCGAACAGCAGAATGCAATCCGTGCTGACAACTTCACTAGATCATCCATGCTGCTTCGATCCTGCATGTAGGCTAGGCGTCGAAATGCAAACATTCGTAACAGCAGAATTTCCTCAGCGAAACTCACCTACGACGCGCAACTCGGTATGTGACCGTGCGCCCTTTCGGCGACAGGAACGTGCAATAGCAACTTGGCGGGCTGCCAGGGGCTGCCAGGGGCGGTATGTGATGACCATGTGTGGGTTCCTCCGGAGGCCGGGTCCTCGGTGTCTTCTTTCTTGCAACTCCTTTGCCACTCAATACATACAATACGGTTCTTTCTCAAAGATCGTACCACGTGATACCTGAACTGAACCTTAGAGAATGCAGACTGCTAATTACTAAGCTGTTTCCACACCCTAGGGATCAAGTCGTACCTTCTCAGGTTCGCTTACGACTGGACCCTCCAAACCCACCTACATAACAGTGCCTCCAATCACCGTACCAATAAATGTTACATATAACAGTGCCCTGAGAATGTACGACTGGATCCCTATAGGACAGTCAATGTTCCACCGGATCTGGGCTCGGCATGTTCGCCGTTGGCCAGTATCATGAACCTATACTTCGGATAACTCTTACATACTGAAAGGCCCTTGTTGATGGCAGCTCTATTTTCCAACGTGTTCTCTCCGTTGTTTCTTCTAGCAAGTTCGGGTGGGGCCTTCCTGGGCCTTCCTTGTGTGGGAAGGGTTCTGGTTGTAGACACATGTTGTTGATGCCGTGTTCCGATATTTGGAGGGAGACCATGAGGCCTTTGTGCTCCAACAAAAATCTCCAAAAGCTCCGAAATGTCGGACGTCGCGGCCTTTTCTTGATTCGGTCCGGCTCCGCTTGATCTGCCAACTGCCCGGAATCTGAGTTTGGGTTGTCCAGTGAAGCGCATCTACTTCGTTCAGGGCGATCAGACCGTCTACATGGTGGAGCCAGGGACTGAGCCTGGAAGTCCTCCTTCGTGGTTTCAGGAGATGGCCACATGCACCTGGAGGGTGCTCCAAGTGGAGACCAAGGTGTATGGTGTCCGGATGTGTCGGGAAGAGATCCTTATTAATCTGGGGGCAGGTCGGAGGTTTCCAGGTTCAGGTCATTCCTGAAAGACCCATCCTAGGTGTCCAGGCCCACCAGTGCAGCTCATTTGGAATATTAATGTTTTGCCAAACAACCATTGTTTTACATCGTTTTACTAAGGATCTTGTTAAAAACCCCGTCATATGGAGCATTATTGTATTCCAGCCAACTGAGGCATAGTTGACTATAAAGCATGATAAAACCTCTTGAGGTCAAGGGGGTGCTTTCCTCATCAATAGTCCATACCAGCTTCTTCAATGTGACCTTTTAGTATATGGACCCTCATCTGTCGGGGTGCCAGTGCCGAACGCGATCGAACCTCTGAAGCGTACGCGATCGAACGCTCTGTGGGGAAAGACGCTGAGGCGCTTCATTCGGCCTTGAGCTTCATGCGGCGGGTGCATGGTCTTTCTTGGATCCTTCGCTGTTGCGAGGCCGAGAAGGCCAAGTTGTGCCAGCCCATTCTTCAGTTTGGCACGATGTAGGACGGAGTACCCTGTGGGAGGTTGAAGCTGCTATGACTATGACTATAAATGCCAGATGTCAATGCACTTTCACCGCATCACGGTCGAGGTGAAGAGACAAAAGAGTTGTTACTATAGTAGCGTCCTTGCTCCTAGTAGTAAGGCCAGGAGCTCGTAGTAGCGTCCTTGCTCCTAGCAGCGATGCCCTTTGCTCCTAGTAGCTTCTTGTTCCTAGTAGATGTCAATGCACCCAAGCCACCGGAAATCACCATTTTTCACCACACACCGCCACTCGTCAGTCATGGGGGATCGATCGCAGGCATAGTGCAGCCGGGCAGTGCAGCCGAGCAGTCGTCCAGTCGAGAAGGTGCAGCCGGGTCATGAGGTGGGCAGTCGGGTGGATGAACTACGATTCGTCTCGTAGTTCGATGGCACTGGGCACCCCAAGATGTTGTACCCTATGGATCCACTGCCACCGTACCTCAGAAGCTAGACGCCAGGACCCGACAATGGCGCCTACATAAATAGTCTCCAATCACCGTACCTCAGGTTCGGTATGTGGATCCATATAGGGTTAGATCAGATGGGGGTCACCACCTCAAACCTTAGACATTTGTGCCAACGAGGTCCTCTCAATCTGTCGAGGTCCGACTTCTTCGTGGGGTGATCGGAACGCACGGCGCGTTGGGCATGGCCCGGCATGGCGAGTGTGGGATGGTGAGATCCAGGGCAGCTTCCTGATGGTTAAAATTTTGGGGGGCAAAGCACAGCATCATGTGCCAACACCAACCCAAAGGGTTCTTTTTGTATGGTAAACACACGCATGCTTGTCAGGGGTGTGTTTCAATGACTTAAACCCAAACTCCGTGATACAGGTTGTATTTTTGTATATGTTTTACCATTTTACACCCTCCATGTCGGACTCGCTGGCCATTCTCGTGCACAGGCGGGGGCCTGCTGTCCACCCATCGACTGGGACCAAGTCGAGACGAGACCGATGAGGCCAGAATCGGCGCAGACCTGGTGAAGGGAGCGACCCAGAGCCGGAACCCTTCGTTGAATTGCTTTTACATTTGTTGAATTGATAAACGGATATCAACGGTCTACTACACTCCCGAAGACTAGACCCGGGTCGAATGGCCGGTTATGACCATGGTCCTCGTTCCAAAGAATCCGGGCCCTCAAACACATAGGGTTTTGAGGGCCCAGACCCCTACGTTTAGGTCTCGGGTCCGACCCCTGCCATCGAGAGCCCCAGGATTCTTAGGGATTTGTTGAATTGATAAACGGATATAAACGGTCTACTACACTCCCAAAGACTGGACCCACTGGTTATGGCCCACTGGTTATGACCATGGTCCTCGTTCCAACCCAGTCGTTTTCAGGTTCGGCTCTGATCAGTCTCTTCCAGGGTGTTACTGAGCAACTTGCAATGCTGTCTTGTATTACGGAATGCCCACCACAATCTGTGAAGTAGATCGAAAGCTTCCAAGCGAGAATGGCTTTTGTGCGACATCATCTCTTTTGCACGACGTCCAGGACTTTCAATTGACTGCGAAAATGAAGAAAAAAAGCATCCTCACTGCCAGGTCACCGCCATTTTGAAGTCTCCAAACACCCACTGGAGTAGTAGACCTGTAGAGTCGGGTACTAGCATTTGGTTGAAAAAGTATGGAGACTAAGAAGTCGGTCTCTTTTCTAAGAAGTGGAGATGGACTTTTCTGTCGAACAGTGGCCATCGCCGGGACCCTCATGGTCTTCTTTTCGCCCGCGTATCGGTGGGCGAGAGGTGCCAGGCACATCGGGGGGGGAAAGCGGAGCCCCTAGTAGCATCCTTGGTACTAGTAGCTTCTTGTTCCTACTAGTAATGCCAGGAGCTACTAGTAGCTTAATTCTTGCTCCGTTCGTAGCGATGCCCTTTGTTCCTTGTTAGGACGGGCCACGCAGCCTGGAATTCGGGATAGGGAAACAAGATACCTAGAAAACGTAGTAAATTAGCAGAAAAAAACGATCCATTTTTGGAAAAGACAATGTTTTCCAAATGGTGCGTTTGGGATCTGACGGCACGTACCTGAATTTCGGACACAAGTCACCAAATGTCGACCTCACCAAGAAATACCAACATCTTTTTTGAGCCTTCAACATGCAGCTACGAGCCTAAGAACTCACAAATGGCGTTTGGTGATGCAAAACAAAATATACGGGCTAGTATGGGTTAGCACGGGTTCCGTACGGGTTCTCAAAACACAATGTTTTGTGGGGCAGATCGAAAATACGGGTTCCGTATGGGTTAGTACGGGTTAAGTACGGGCTCCGTACGGGATAAATACGGCTACGGTGTCTTATGTTTTCAGTCAAGTCGCCCTCCAAATTCACAAAAAGGCAATGACCAAAACAGATGGAAGAATCGGAAGAATACTCGACATTTGGTGACTTGCGGATCGATCAATGTCCCACGGCACTCACCCAAAAGCAAGATCCGGGAGACACGTGTTTGTTTGTGGTAGCCGGGGCTATTCTTCAGTGTTTTTACCAAAAGACAATCTTTGTCGAGAAAAGACGATGTTTTCCATCTCTTCCCTGGAAAAAGTGATGTTTCATCCAGGAGCCTACAAATTGTTAGTGTTTTGCTTCTCTAGGTTGAAGCGAGAATGGAGAACTGACAGCAAGAACGCCCAGCAGTTCGGAAATCGAAATGGGTTGGGCAATTCAAGAGAAGGGCCATCACAAGTGGGCGTAGTGCACCGTTTTGTTTATCTCTCAAAGCAAACGCGAACCAAACCGACAAGTAATAGCAATTCTGCAGCAAAAGGCATGAGAGGTAGCATCAAATCATATTTGTTTTGTGAGAAACGCTTTGTTTCGGTCCATCATACATCACGTCAACCATCCAGGGTGATTTTCTGGGTTAGGTGCAACCTAAGACCCTCACACGGCTCTCGGCAAACAAATCTTCTGGCAGGTTTTGTGGATTGCTTTGGCATCTGCAAGCCAGGCCAGCGACATGAAATAGGAGTATAGTATAGAGTCTATAGCAAATAGCAGCTCATAGTAGTGCAAATATAGTAATTAAGAGTCTGGATGCTTCAGTCGCACTTGACTTTTTAGACTTCTGCTCCATGTTTCGCTGCAGGAGCTCCGCTCGGATCAAGCGGGTGTCGCTCGGAGGACGAGGCAGGCGCCCGGCAGGTCGAGCGGATCGGGGGGAAGTCGAGGTTGGTGAGTGGAAGTGATTGGAAAGGGGGTCCGTGTTGCGGCCCTATAGATGAGAGATACTGAAGAAAGTGGCTGTTTTCCTTTCTAAATAGCGCAAGTTGTGATGAGCCGGAGGTGTCACTTCACGAATTTGCCCTCGGTTGCTGAAACTGGGAGATTGTATGACTCCAGCGACAACCTGTGGGCGCCCTCCAACTCGCGCCACCTGTTGTTCCACGGCAAAACTGGACCTTTTCGCGGCTTCTTTCAGGTTCTTCCGCGCTGCGTGGTGCGCCTTCCCCGCGGGCCAAGCTTTTCGGCCCCGCCTCGCCGTGCTTGGGCAACCAATGGCGAGTTTATGTTCCACAGAAACTGGGAGAGGCAGTTGAAGAATGTCCATCAAGACATTCTTGTCCATCAAGACATTCTGCAAACAATCAGCTCACTTGACCTGAAATCTGTGGGTGTCCAATTGTTTTCACCGTCTTTTGGAGGGTCAAGATGATTTCTGCGGTCGGAGCGGCACTTAGATCTCCAAAATGGCATCGGGTTCCTTGGCTTTCACCTGCCCTAAGAATCCTTGGACCCTCCATGGCATGGCAGGGGTCAGACCCTCTATGGCAGAGGGTGAAGAGAAGAATTGTGGCGACTTTGTGTTTTTGTTCAACAGCTGTGTGCATCTAGGCGGAAGTTTGGGTTGTTTGTGCATGGATCCTTTTCAGCTGGGCATAGAACTGTGGAAGTCGTGACATCTCTGCACTTCGTCTAGACCTCTCGGTAGTAGGAACAAGGGCATCGCTACTAGTAACACAGGGCATCGCCACTATATAGTAGCTCTTGGACTTACTACTAGGGACAAGAAGATACAATTACCAGGAGTCACAAAGGGGTGCCTATTGGAGGATAGGGGTGTCCATTATCCACTCACTGGATGGGACTAAAAACCACTCCGTCTTGTGACTCCTGGTATGGCAGTTATTTGTAAACCAATCGCCTTCATCTCACTGAGGTGGCACGCCCATCGCCCACGGCCGTGAAACGCGCGGCCGAAACCGCCAGCAAAAGCGAGTCGAGTGGCGCCACACTGCGCAGTGGATGGAGTCGATGCACTGGGCGCGCCCCACAAACGACAAGTGCCCTCTGAGATGGCATGGGGTTGTCATGGCTTGTGGGACCAAACATGGGCAAAGACAAAGCCGCTGGGACATGCAAGAAGAAATGCTTCAAGACAATGCTTGTTCAACTGAATGCTTTGCAGAAGAAATGCTTCAACTTAAAGAGTTCCTTCTACACTCTTACACTCCATAACCAGTCTCCAGGACCGGGGTCACCAAAAAAGAACAGACGAAGACCGTTTCTTCTACGGTGTGGACCAGACCGACCAGACCGACCTTCACGCAATGACCCGGTGCGACGCTGGACTTGTTTTCGTTGGAAGATGTTTGAGGAAGGAAGCTGTGGTCCATGCACTCCAGCAATTTGAAAGATCACGTCCGGCACAGCTTACCAAAGTAGAAACCATCATCCATCGCCCTTGTTGAAGCAACTCTGGCAAAACCGAGATGGTTTATGGCACCTGAAGCCCAACCAGTCTACCATTTGCCACAAGTCAGACCTTTTCATTCGGAGGCTTTCTCGTGCCCGAAACCGGTCTCCTGGTGTCATGGGCGTGTCATGATGGGTCAGCCAGTGGATTCCACTGATGGGTACGACGTACTTCTCACACCGTCCGCCCCCACCCCGGTGGCGTTCGGGGTTTCGCCTCCGATTCCCGCCCTCCCGCCCTCCCGCGGACGTGGAACGGACGCAGATGCCTAGCCCCGGAGAAGTGGATGAGTTGCCCAACCTTGTTAAGGATCGGTGACAACCCATGGAAAAAAGAAAAGTAACCATGCAGATGAACAGTTCCATATGCCCAAAATGCCGTCCGACTCTTTGGGACGCGACTGTGTTGCAACATGTTGAAACGACTTGGGTCACAGAAACCGTCGTTCTCCGTTTCGCATGTAGGTCCACTGATGTCGACGGTCGGGCGGGACGAACTTCGGGGTTTGGTCGTCGGAGGCAAGAAGGATCAGGTCGAGGTCTATCGCTTCAACGGACCCCTGCGAGCGAACCACGGAGTCGAGTCGTAGGTTGTTCGCACTTTCCGTGCGCTGGGTGGGTAGAGGGAGGCAGAGGTGGAGGGGCGATTCTTCTAGGGGCGTGTTTTGGGGAAAGACGTGTAACAGGAGTCGTTCCTTTTGGAGTTGACACCCGGGAGCCCTGGAAGTGTGAAGGACAAAGTAGGTGAAACAAAGGAAGTGTGATGCGCTGGAAGCTGCATGGTTTCGTGGCTTTTGCATCCAGGACGTCACCTACTTTTTCAGTTTGTGTTTTTATCAACAGATCTATTTGGGGCGGAAACCTTCGTGAATTGATTCACAACCTCACGCAATGTGAGTCACAGTACGTGAGGAGTTCCCAGTGGAGGTGTTCTCATGATATTTAAGTGCGGCGCAACTGTTTGTGTACAAGCTCAATAGGATGTTTTGAGCATTCCGCGTTTCAAAGTGGTGTCGGAATTGGCTCAACATACCCTGCCATGTGACTTCACAAAACCAATCATCATGAATTTAGATAGTGTCCTATCGCAAGTACAAGGGTGACTGTAGCTTTCACAAGGTTGAATTGAAGTTAATTTGGTTCAAAAAAGAATCTGATCAACATCATCAGCATGTTTGGATCATTTGTGTTGTGTTCAGAAGCTGCAAAAAGCAGAGCATAGAATAACGAGACCCGACCATGAAATTGTCATTAGGGTATACAGTGACATATACATTCTATGTAAAACATTAGAACATCCAAGCACCAAGACTGGTCCAAAGCAACATTTGTAACTTGCCGTGTCCTCATCCAGTGTGATTGGCAAGAAGAGAACATATAGGCTCATAGTTTTGATACGTGTTGACATGTTGAAATTGAATAAACTCCTGTGAAGCCATGTGCGGTTCCTGATCTAGCTCAATCCCACAGAAGCACCATACTAAACCAGTGATTTGTACAAAACGGGCTCCCAGAGTCTGAGTCCTGGAGGACAAAACCTATCTCCATGGACTTCCTCCACCTTCCATGCTCATCGAACTCAGCATCCCGCAGGACAGCTACTTCCACGTCGCGACCGAGAGCGGAAAGGCGAGCGAGCGTTTGCGCCGTCTGCGCAGAAGGTCTGCGGGTCGACGGTCGACGGTCACCTGGACCGACCGACCGGTTGGCGGTCTTCGGAGGGATGGAAGTCATGAGCATACAGGCCCTAGGGATCCGGTCGTACCTCCTCAAGTTCGGTACGACTGGACCCGGTCCCATGGCACCCGGGGGTTTGTCGTCCCGCCTTCGAAACGAAACGAAACGAGGGTACGACTGGATCCTTAGGGAGGATACACCTCAGAAGTCACTGATCAATCGTTACCATCTGCAAAATACACCTCTATGAGAGGTGTAACATCAGTTGTTCTGTAACATCTGCAAAATCATGGTATGGAACTGGGGTGAGTTTGGGGTGTATCCACCTCCTAGACGATCCTGCAAATCGCGTGGCTTTCCTGCCGGGCAAGGTGGTGTTTTGTTTCTTTCTGGTGGCATTCCGATCCAAGGAACTGTGACATGACGAGAACACCGCAGTGCCTGACGCAGTCGCTAAAGGCTTTGCCCCGCTGTTGGCTTTGCCAAAGCTACCACATCACTTTCATGGACGAAAAGCTGGACGTGCATGGGTGGAACTTCGCGACGTGCTGTGTGATTGGCCCAAAAACAACACGTTCTTAAGACACACCCAACGTTTTACTCGGCTCCGAAAACACTCCGTGCACAAAATCGAGGACAACCTGTGGGATGAATCGTGAGGTCTTTGATTTGCTTTGAACTTCCACCACTTCGTCCCAACATGGTGCCCTATCGCAGGGTGAACCCGGATGTTGAAAGGGGATGTCTCCCTTGTGTCGCAGTGGCTATGACTGAGTTCCATATTTTCAAGTCTGGGTGGTGGTGTAATTCAGATATTTGTTTGTTCGACCTTTACTTGGGATGATACCCACAGGATCTTTGATTGTTTGTTCCTTTTCCTTGAAACACCCGAAGATCTTCCACTCATAGGGCGTCGACCCACAGGTTATTTAGATGTTGGACACACCTGACGGATGCGGATCTCGCCAGGGCTGACCGCTTCCTTGTTGTCTTGGGAAGAGTGGCCCACCAAGGAGGCGGACGCCGCCCGGTTTGGCCACTGTTTTGTTGCCTAGACTGACCCCTGTTCAACCACCCCAGTGTATGTACTTATGACTTATTCCATACATGGAGTGTTTGGGTTGCAAATCAGTGTAAGGGTTGTTTGGAAAACCTGGTTCAGTCGTGGTGTGAAGCGGTTTGAGAATGGCTCAACGAATCGCATGTCTTGGACAGGCTTCAACACTCTCAACGACTCGTCGAAAATGGCAGTTGGCTGTTTAGGGGTTTGTTGAAAACAACACGTGTGCCCAGTCTGCCCAGTGCAGAGGTGGTGAAGTTGGCCGCTTTAGGTGTCCTCTTGCCCACGTGATTCCATGTCTTCCATGTCCAGAAGCTTCGTCCCATCAGCCAAGCCACTCGGCCAGGAGCTCATCTCGGCACTGGATCTACAACTGGAGAACGGAGGTGGGAGCTAAAACTGTAACAGCCGCCTACACTGCCGAAAACAAACTCATGGACCCGGTGGTTTTGGCACCCTCTGTCCGACTCTTTTCCTTTACAAACCAGGGGTTTAAAGCGTTCCAAGCGTTCAAAGCGTATGCATCGTTCGCCATGGCGAACGAGGGGTCCTGAACGCACTGACCTCTTCTCCAGGGCCAAGCTTGCCATGTGGCCAACTCTTCCCATGCACTCTCTCAGAAGGGATGTCGCTATCGGCGGCCAAATGCATGCAGAAGTCGGTGTCTTTTTTGCATGAGGTTTCGAACCCAAAGCGCCTCGAAAAGAATCAGGTTTTGGTGAATCCACAGGTCGCTTTCTGAGGCATTTGACAACGACCCACCTGTTAGTGGGTACTTCCGCCGCGTTCGATGCTTGTTGGCGGTATCGAGGCTCCCGTTTAATGTGCGCGTACAGCGAGCCATTGCGAGCCATATTCCTGTTGCCTTTAGCTGGGCAAGTTGATAATGAAGATGCTGAGGTGCTGCCCGTGTGCAGCACATTGACGAACGAAAACCGTCACTCTGAAAGAGAACTTCTTCATGTTCAGGCCCGCAATGTGTTCAAGTACGTCTCCGTCCAGCTGCACAGTTGTGCGGAATGGGCTCTGCTTGGATTAATAAGAAGTGGTTGCTCTCAGAGTAACTTAATAACAACTAACTTCCTTCACTTCTTCCTTTTGAAGGGCTGCTTGCAAACTTCCCAACGAATTCCGTTTACAAACCAATGAATCCTGTTAGGACGACCTCGAAACACAAGAACTGACACGTTGGACACGTTCTCACATGGTCTGGTGACTCTGGAGAGTGCAGAGTTTGAGTATTTCCATCACACCACCGACTTGTTGCGGTGCTTGAGGTGTGCTTGGTCCTCATAGGAGGGTTCTCAAATGGGTTCACACCTCAGATCCAACCACAGCCGCAGCCTTCAACTGCTCGAAGTCCAGTTCATCCGAAGCTTGCCATCCCGGCCCCCCGTCATGACTTGGGTCACACATGGTCACACGTGATCCTGCCGGATCCACCTTCCTCCTCGCCGCCTCGAACTTGTATAGAGGTTCCGCGCGCAGGAACAGCTGGCAGAGGCGGATGAAGGGCAGAACACGTTCAGCGGTTGAGGCCGTTTGGCGGATAGTTGGATCAACCTTGCGGTTAATGCGCAGCCGTGGACACTCTGGGCAGCCGTAGGCTTGCGCTTGCAGATACTGGTCCTCCGTGCATGCAGCACGTCGTACCAACTCATGATGCGGGGGAACCTCTCCGCAGGTATGTTAGCTTGACGCCCGCGGAGCCTGATCCGCGGTCTTGCCTCGACGGATTGGAGGGCGTGTACGTTCACAAGATTTCACAAGACTTCCGGCCTGCCGGCCGAGAAAGGACCGAAAACACCAACTTGAGGTGCCGGAAGAGGTGGAAAAGTGCTTGGCCACGGAGATTAAGGCCGAGGGGGGTCGGAAGCCACCGAGCCTCGTCCGCTCTGGACCGTCCAGATCCTTGCCTCCAATGTCTGCATGCCTATGCTCTTTTGGTCAAGGAACAGACCCCTTTGCACCTAGTCGATCAGCATCTCCAGCAACACTCTCTTTGCGTTACGGCTCCGCTGCTCGCCCTCCCTGTCTTTCGCGGTGGAACCACTATCTTAAGCGGATCCCTTCTTTCGTCTGCTCCAAGACGCTCGCCGTCCCTTTCTTACACATCAAACACACGCTCTTCCTTTTCCAGCGCCTTCAGCCTCTTTCCACCTCCCCTCTTCTCCCCAATGAGGCTCTACACTGATCTCCGCGAAAAAGAATTGTACGTGGTAATGCAGATTTTCTTCCTGTCAGCCACTCAGCCACTCAAGATCCTGAGTGGCTGAGTGGCTGACACGAAGAAAGCCTGAGTGGCTGACAGGAACAAAATCCTGAGTGGTTGAGTGGCTGAGTGGCTGACAGGACGAAAAACCTGAGTGGCTGAGTGGCTGACA